GAAGGGTTGGATCATTGGCGCTTGGAAAAAAATCGACATTTTAGTATAAAAAAATAAATCTTAAGTTTGTTTTTTTTGCGAATCTTACACTTGAGTGCTAAAAATTATCAAAATTCTAAAACAAATGTTTCAACTTCCACAAATCTAGCTTTGAATTGTAAAAAATCTAAATTTGGAGCTTGGAAAAATTTGGAGTTTTTAGAATTTCCGAATTGAATTTCTCAAAATTCTAAAAAATCTTAATTTGGAGCTTGGAACAGTTTAGTTTTTTTTTGAATTTATGAATTGAAATCTAAAAATTCTAAATCTGGAGCTTGGAAAAACTCAGGATTTTAGAATTGAATTCTAAATTTACGTTGTCCAAATTTATTTTTTTTATAAGGAAAACTTGCCGCGCCACATAGTACGTGCTTTTCCCTCGTATGCACCCTTTCCTCCCCCAAACAATTGAGGGGGTTGGAATTGGAGCTAGACTTATCGAGGACCACTTTTAGGGAACCAAGGATCATGAACTTAAGTAAGGATTTCAATTCATATTCATTTTCTTTCAATGATTTTCCTTTATAATCCAAAAGAATCCAAAAGAAATCTTGGGACAAATGATTTCAATTCATATCAATTTATGTTCAGTTCAATTTCTTTTTCACCAAACGAAATCTAAACTGGCCATGAGGATTCAAGATGGGGCCCAGTAAGATCCAACTGCTAAAGGAAGCGATTGTTTTCTTAGTCTTGGAAAAATGACACCATAGCAAACCACTGGAACCACTACACCTAATCAAGATTCAACATTAGCCGAAACAAGCTACTCAAGAGATCTTCGGACAGATGTGTACACTCACAGTCAGACGCAGAATCCTTGCAGTCCTTGCAGTTGCTTGCTATTTATCAACCGTGCAATGCATAAAATCCAGTCTTGTGATGTGGACCAGGCGGCAGCCCTCTTTGACCTCTACTCATACGGGGATCCCAGAGGACTCACAACGGAACCGGTTTTTTCTTGCTCTCTTGACAGTGTTTAAAATTGTTCAAAGGAAATTGAAATGGACATGTATAGTTTGCCAAGTTACTAGCAGGGAAGGAGATTGCATCCCAGGAATGCCATGATAGCATTCTGAGATCCTATTTGTCGATGGCAAAGCTTGCTACAGCCACCTTCTTGATGCTGTTAGCCATATGGCCCGTGTGTTACTGTCAAATTCAAAGCTTGGAATCTTGTTGGCCCTAGAGAGTTTCCGTTGGGTCGGACCGTGAAGCTGCTAGCAACTAGCAACTAGTAGCTTTGCTGAGTTTGAGGTGCACTGGGGCGCGTTCGTATCTTAAATGTAGTTTGTAGCGAGACGTTGTGAAGTTGAACATGATTTTGAGAACACGGAACAATCTGATGCTGTTCTTCGCGATTGGATAAAGGCCTGACATTCAAGACCATTAAAGCCATGTCTTGCTATGAGTTTTGCAAACTGATCATGTGATCAAAACACATCAAAACTCATCTGAGTCAAATTACACCACCGTAGACCCCAAACAGCGGGTGGACTCAAGAAGTGATTTGGAACACATGAAATACAGCAACAGGAATGGTGAAAATGTCTGCAAAAAGTGCCGGAGGCCACTTTATATACATTTATTTGGTTCGGCTTCGCTTGCTTTGTTGCAACGCTAGATGCCAAAAAACGATGAAGGAAACATCCGATGGGGTGCAGCTATTTGGATCCAAACGCTCGAATCAAGCAGCATAGGACTGTCAAATTGGATGTGCTGAAAACATCGAAAGATGAAAGTGAAAGATGACATCATTGGAACTTTAGAGTCTGCGCAATTCTCGGCGTGCGATAATTTTAGCTGGGAGACATGGAAAAAACAAGCTGGGAGACAAGGGAGACAGGCCTCGGGAAGACGGACACACCATCCAACAAAGGGAAACAAGAAGGAAGACAAGCTGGGAGACAAGCTGGGAGACCAGCTGGGAGACCAGCTGGGAGACCAGCTGGGAGACAAGGGAGACAAGACCTCGGGAAGGCAGACACAGCATCCAACACAGGCACACATGTGGGGAGACCATCGGAGAAAATAAGAGACAAGGTAGGCAAGACCATCGGATTTTTTTTGAGCTAGCAGCAATCTGGGGTTGGTTCAGCTAGAAATGTTGTAGGGGGCTGCTGTGGTGTGTGCTTGGGGTTGGTTAAAGGTACGTTATTCCAGGTCGGTTTAAAGTTGGTGTATAAATGGTGTTTGTGTAGCGCTTGTTTAGCGTGAATCTAGTGTTGGTGCAATATGTTGTTTAAGGTTAGTTTGCGGTTTAGCTAGGAGCCCGCTTAGGTTTAACAGGCTGTTTAAGGTTGGTCCAAATAGCATGGTGTTAGGGTTGCTGCAGGATTTGTTTCGGCTTGGGTGAAGGTATTCTGGAATGTTTCTTTTCTTTTAAGATATCTTCAGTGTTGGTTTAGGTTTTGTGTAAGGTTTTGCCTAGTCCCCGCTTAAGGTTGTGTTCCAAGACCGCTTTGAAATTGTAGTTAAACTTGATTTGGGGTTTAGTTTGGGTGGGCTTAATGTTAGCTTAAAGTTTCCTCCGGATTTATTTACTGTTGGCGTACTGCTTATTTAACATTTTTTCGGGTGTTATTTCTGGCGTGCTTAGTGTTTGGTTTAAGATACGCTTAAGTTTTCTTTCGGTTTGGTTTAGGGTTGATTCGTCGGGTCAGTGGTTGATTGCTGATTGGCTTAAAGTTGGTGCAAAGTTTTGTCTAAAATCGGTCCAGTGTTTGGTTCGGAATTCGTCGAAAATTCGTGTGCCTTTTAGGTTTGGATTTGGGTTTGTTTTGGGTTGGGTTAGCCCTTTATTTGGCATTCGTTTCAAAGTTTATTTGAGATTGGTTGAAAATTTGAAGTTGGCTTGGGGTTTGACTTTCAGGTGTGCGTGCAGTTTCCTTCGTGAGGGTTTTAGGATTTATTGTTTTATCTATTTATATATACGTATATATACATATATATAGTTTGCTTTAAGGTTTTCTTTGGTTGGGTTACGGGGTTCTTTATAATCGGTCTAGGGTTGGTTTAGGGTTGGTTTGGGGTTGGTTTAAGGTTTGATTAGAGCTCGTTTGTGGACTATGGAATTTTGGTTTAAAACTTTATTGAATGTAGTTCGGAAATCTATTAGAGGTTGTTGGGGGTTTTGTTAAAGTTGGCTAAATGGCTAATTCAAGTTGGTTTAGGGTCGATGTAGTGCCGGCGCGCTTTATGTTTTGAGTTGGTTTACGGTTCGGTTTAGAATTGGCTTGGGGCTGGTTAGAGATCTATTTAGGGTTGGTTTGTGGTTTATTGCAAGTTGTACTTCAAAATTGTTGTCACTTTACTAAGGATCAGTTTATCTTTCTATTTCAGGTTGGTCAAGGTTTTTCTTTAGTTGGTTCAACATGTATTTATGGTTGATTTAAAATAAATCTAAGCTTTGGTGTTGCATTTATTTTGAATTCCCTTTAGGGTTGGTCAAAGGTTGGTTTAAAGTTTTATTTACTGTTTAGTGCTAATTAGTTTACAGTTTAACATTCGTTTATGGTTTGGATAAGTAAGGTTGGATTTGGGTTGCTGCTGGTTGAGAAAGTTCAGAACTTTATTTAGGGTTGGTTCAGGGTTGCTTTTTTTGTTGAAGATTGGTTTATAGTATTTCCAAAGGGTTGGCTCGAAGGTTTATCTACGATTGGCTCAAAACTTTACTTATGGTGGCTGGCTTGCTTGCTTGCTTGCTTGCTTGCTGGTTGGCTGGCTGACTCGCTTGCTTACTTCCTTGCTTGCTTCCTCAATTGCTTGCTTGCTGCGTTCCTGTCTTGCTTGCCTGCATGCAAAGTTGTTGCTTGCTCTGGCTTACCTGCATGGCAGGCTTGCTTGCTTGCTTGCTTGGTTTTGGACCAGAAACGTAGAGGCAGGAGCTTATCTTCTCCTATTCAATGAATGGCTGGCTTGGCTGGCTTGGCTGGCTAGCTGGCTGGCTGGCCTGCCTGCCTGCTTGCCTGCTTGCTTGCTTGATTGCTCGGTTGCTCGGTTGCTCGGTTGCTCGGTTGCTCACTTGCTTGCTTGCTTGCTTGCTTCCTTGCTTCCTTGCTTCCTTGCTTCCTTGCTTCCTTGCTTCCTTGCTTCCTTGCTTCCTTGCTTCCTTGCTTCCTTGCTTCCTTGCCTCCTTGCTTCCTTGCTTCCTTGCTTCCTTGCTTCCTTGCTTCCTTGCTTCCTTGCTTCCTTGCTTCCTTGCTTCCTTGCTTCCTTGCTTCCTTGCTTCCTTGCCTCCTTGCCTCCTTGCCTCGCTGGCTGGCTGGCTGGCTGGCTGGCTGGCTGGCTGGGCTTGCTTGCTTGCTTGCTTGGCCTGCCTGCCTGCCTGCCTGCCTGCCTGCCTGCCTCAGACAAGACCTCGCAAAGGCGGACACACAACACAGGCACCCATGTGGGGAGACAATGGGAGACAAGGGAAGACAAGGACAGGCCATCCAACAAAGGGAAACAAGAAGGGAGACAAGGGGACACAAGGCCCTGGAAAGGTGGACACACCACCCAACAAAGGGAAACAAGGGGGAGACAAGACCTCGGGAAGGCGGGCGCATCATCCAACACAGGCACACATGCGGGGAGACAGTGTGAGACAAGCGGAGACAAGGGGAGACAAGGGGAGACAAGGGGAGACAAGACTTCGGGAAGGCGGACACAGCATCCAACGCAGGCACACATGTGGGGAGACAATGGGACAAGAGGAGACAAGGGGAGACAAGGGGAGACAAGACCTCGGGAAGGCGGACACGGCATCCAACGCAGGCACACATGTGGGGAGACAATGGGAGACAAGGGGAGACAAGACCTCGGGAAGGCGGACACAGCATCCAACACAGGCACACATGTGGGGAGACAATGGGAGACAATGGGAGACCATGGGAGACAAGGGGAGACAAGACCTCGGGGAGGCGAACACACCTTCCAACACCAAGGTGGACACCTTAAGAAAGCATTAAGAACCCCTAACAGTACACTGTTTGGGGAAAAGCGTACAAACTTCAAAACGCATGTTCAAAACTGAGACAAAATTATTCAAACCGGAGAGCAAGTTCAGCTACAGCGTTAGCGATGGCCATGTTCATCTCCAAATTGCGATGATCAAACATAGCTGCAACTGATTGGGTTGTCATAGACGATCCACAGTTTCTTGGATATTCAGTTATTTGGGGTGGTTTAGTGGTATAATTCATTATTCATGGGTTATATCTTCAATTCTACATGGCATTGATGGCTTCTAAGTAGCATGTGTGCCCGGGAAATCCACTAATTATGACATGCAGGGTAATGCTGCCAGCGGATCTGCCGGTGAGATGGAGCCTAAACAGCCACCAGCCGCATCAGGAGAAGGCGAGCACGAGCACCTCGTTCCGTCGAATAAAGTGGCGAAGATCGCCGCGGGGCAAGCGACCGACGCCGTCGCGGAGAAGAGCCGCATCCTGGCACCGCTCCTCGGTGATGCTTTAAAATTTTTATATATTATTTATTAATATTTTATATATATAATATTTTACATATAATATATACGATGTATATATTGTATATTAATTTTACATATTATATATATTATATATAATATATATTATATATATTGTACATTATTTATAATATATATATTATATATTTTATGAATTATATATAATATATATAATATATTACATATATTTATATATATATATATAATATTTTATTTATAATATATACGATGTATATATTATATATTAATTTTACATATTATATATATTTATTATATTATATATTAAATATTAATATTACATATTATATATATTATATATAATATATATTATATATATTGTATTTTTTTTAATATATATATATATTATTTTATGAATTATATATTATATATATAATATATTATATGTATTATATCATACATTTAATATTTTATAAATAATATATACGATGTATATATTGTATATTAATTTTACATATTATATATATATATTATATGTTATATATTATATATTAATTTTACATATTATATATATTATATATAATATATATTATATATATTGTATATTATTTAATATATATATATTATATAATTTATGAATTATATATTATATATATAATATATTATATTTATTATATTATATATAATATTTTATATATAATATATACGATGTATATATTGTATATGAATTTTACATATTATATATTATATATTAATTTTACATATTATATATATTATATATAATGTATATTATATATATTGTATATGATTTATAATATATATATTATATAATTTATGAATTATATATTATATATATAATATTTTATATATATTATATTATATAAATAATTTTATATATAATATATACGATGTATATATTGTATATTAATTTTACATATTATATTTAATATATTTTATATATTATATATTATATATTAATTTTACATATTATATATATATATTATTTAATATATATTAAATATATTGTATATTATTTAAATTATATATATATATTATATACTTTATGAATTATATATTATATATATAATATATTATATATATTATATTATATATATTATATATCATATTTTATATATATTATATATTATATATTATATATTAATTTTACATATTATATATATTATATATATTATATATATTATATATATTATATATTTAATATTTTATATATGTATATATTTATTATATATAATTTATATTATATTTAATATATATTTTATATTTTATATATTATATATATATTATTTATATTATGTATATAATATATTATATTTTTTATATATTATATATTTTATTTATAATATATATTTTATATATTATATATTTATGATATTTTATATATTATATATTTTATATATTATATATATTTTAAATAATATATATTATATATTATATATATAATATATAAAATATATAATATATATTTTATGTATTATATTTATTTGATATATATGAAATATATTGTATATTATATATATATTTATTATATTTATTTTATATATTTTATATATATTATATTATATATATGATATTTATAATATATTATTTATTTATTATATATTATATATATGATATATATGATATATAATATATTTATTTTATATATCATATATATTATATATGTTTTTCCCTCTCTTGTATACCTTGCAGGCAAGCATCTCGAAGCCCATGGCACTAACGAACTCTCAGAGACATGCATTTGATGGCAGAACATATTGCAGGATATCAAACCAGATTCCAATCAGGGACCCAAATGGGATCTACAATTCCGGAAGCCAGTGGATTCCTTATTACAATAAAGAGAAGCCTAAATCAAAATTGACCAAAGTGCTTTGGGGTGTCGAAGCTTCAAGTGCAAAGGAAAGGCTGACAATGTAGATAGGCCAAAGCACGTGCAGTGCTTGGCCGCGTTGTAGTCATCTTCAAGTGTTGGGAAAGCTGGCCGCAAGAAATGTTTCCAATAGCACTTGAACCTTTCAATTAACAGCCCAAAGCTCTGACCTACATCAAACACACCAGGAACAAAGCCATGCTCACTGATGACGTCGACCATGAAGAATGCCCATGGAGTGTACTCAGACAAGTAACCAGATGCCTTTCCCCAATGTGAATCATGTATTGATGAGACAATGATGTTTTTCAATCTGTGAGGAAGTTTACGCTGTCTAGGGAACACAACATGACTCACATCAGCAGGCATAACACGGTCAGAACGAGCAGAAATCCAGCTTTTGAGAACAAGATACCTATCCCCAAGCAAAGCCCACATGGAATTCGGAATTTCTGCCCGTCGATCCAACAGATTAAGAAAAGCACGTTCAACAGTAGCAGTCTGCAGTGATCGGGCGCATGCACCACGGTACAGACACAAGACTTGGCTCTTCTTACGAATCCGTTTCAAGGGCGCACATGTGCAATTCTGGGCTGGACTAACTTTAACATCAGAAGATTCAGTGAATTCAGCGTCCAATCCATATTCTTGCAACATGGCGCTAGAAGTGTTCTGACAAAATTGACGTATCAAATGGCTCTGAAGATCCAGAACCCAAGCAATTTACAGGTCAAATAGTCAAATCATCCAACTGGTCTTTGAACAACTGATCAGCACAGGCCTTGGCCAATTCATCAGCTTTACGGTTTCCTTCGGTTAGATCAGGGTTCTGGTTCTTACATCGACCGTGAGCGGCCACTTTTAAGACAGTTGCTGTCCCAAGTCGGCGGGTCTCAGCCTTACACACTGATTCCCAAGCGTCGAGGTTGTCCCATCCTTTCAACACGCTCAATTCAAAACCATTGTTCTGCAAAAGTTCATAACCTTTGACAACGGTGGCGCAGTCGGAATAGACGGTAACATCACCACTGAAAAGCCTTAGGGCTGTTGCCAGTGCAAAAATTTCAGCTCTCTGGGAAGAATGATCGGCGCCTTCTACGGGAAAGGAAAAGGACCCCACCTCTGGTGAGTATATACCCACAGCAGCCCTTGCAAACCGTCGACATTTGGAGTAGAAGCAGCTCCCATCTATAAAGATATCTAGATTATGGAGTAGAAGGTAAGGCCTACCATGCGGAACATGGTCATGTTGGTGGAAAAGCTTCTTCCTTCTATCGAGAACGGAATCGTCTTCAAAAATAATCCCAGTGGTCCAACTAGTATTGGGAACGGAATCAGGGATATCTGGTTTCTGCAAGTAAGGCATTGTTGGAAAATATGCAAGTGCGTGGCTGTCTCAAAGCCGTGCTGGCAGCAATCACTTGCTGCTAGCCCAGCTTTGAACTTTCGTGGGCCATCAAACATTGACCCGGTGAACAGAAATTGCAAAATGCGTCTAGCATGCTGCATGCTAACCGGAAGAGACCGTAGTTTGCTTGCAACCACCCCCGATAGATCATAATCGGTCATGTCATTGTCGACGAGAAATCTCATCAAAGGAATATCAAGAGGCCTGTCGCGAACGTCCCACAAGTTTTCATGCCGCTGAGCGGATTGCAAAAACAGCCGGTGTCTGATTGATCGTTCGAGTTCTGAGGAGAAGAATTGCTGGCTTCCGTAATTCAAATTGAAATCGACGTCGTTCTGTCTCTGAAAGACAAAGGTGTCACCCACGGGCTCCCAATGAAGTTCTTTGAAGATTCGGGCTAAGACAACAGGAGCGCCATTGCGGGTGTCATTGCCGCGAACATTGTACTTGCGTGCTTGGGCTAAAATTTTGTGGGCTAATTCTGGGTCAGACCTTGCCAACTTTCTGTAGGTGGAAAGAACATGATGGACCCATTTTGCCCAGGGATCTACCCAAATATCGGAATGAGTTGATACTGCCAAGTAAGGACATCGCATCTTATTTTTTCGGGGGAAAATGCAATTAACCACAGCAGTACGCAATTTCTTCAGGGAACCTTTGGAGGGGCCTTGAATTTCTGAGCCGTAAACCCAAACACTATGAGCATTGCTTTTGATATAGAACCCTTTGTCCGAAGTAGGTAAGGGTAACTTACTGATCTTTGCTACTATCTTGATTGCACGGTGCACTCGCGCATCCTGTAGTTTCGCGCCACCACGCCTAGTGACCTTGTGTGAGAATCCTAGTGACTTTGCCTCCTTGGCCTTAGGCATTTGCCGTCCAACTTGCAGGAGGAACCGTTGAGCATTCTTTTCTTTCTTGGTCAAAATTAGGCTTTTCTTGTCGTTCTGTTTCTGTCCGACTGCAGAATCAAAAAAGGACAAGTCGATGGCAGCTTCTGCTAAGGCTTGGAAATCAGAAATTCTAGCCCACAGTTTCGTATCATCAATAAAAGACACGAAATTAATGTTTGTTTTGGTTTCGATGCGTTTTGCAAAAACAGCAAAGATAAGGTTGGCAAAAAGAACGCTAAATGCACATCCTTGAACAAGACCGTTGGTTTGAACTACACGAGGACCGTAGGCTTGTCCCAGCTTGAAACACTCATACTGCCCCCGGTAAAACCCCTCAATGCAGTTGATGATATGGGACGGAACACCCAATTCAGTGGCAAGATTGAAACAAAACTTGGGAAGCAGGAGGTCAAAACACTTGAAACGGTCTATGAATAACACTATTCTGGCGTCACCCTCAAAGAACTCTTGTTCAAACAATTCAGATGAAAGACTCAATTCTGAAGCAATGGCGTTTCGATTGGGCAAACCGCCCAGGAGAGCAGCAGGTGATATCTGGGTCATCCATGAACTTAGATGTCTGAATCTTATGGAGGACCAGGTTGCGTAAAAAACGGATGATAAACCAATTGCGCGAGTAGTTTCCGGTGTCCAAGTTTTTTCGCTTTTGGGGATGGCAGCTATCGGCAGAATCTTAAATGAGGGGGGCCATGTCCCCGTGTGTTCCACTAAGCAGTAGAACAAAGCAATTGCCTCCCATGCGCAGACTGGCAACGCTTGTATTTCCACAACCTTCCACCTATCCAACCCTCCGGATTTGTATTCTGGCTTGGTTTGGAAAAAAGACCATAACTCAAAGGCACTGAAATCAGGTACCTCAGTTATTTGTCTTAGGTCCTCGATTTCGTGTTGGTATTTTTCAAAAAATGACCTGTATAGGGCTTCTTCATCAACATTTGCATGAGTTGTATAAATCTCACCGATATGGTCAGTTAACATCTCAAGAATTTCATTTGGATCCCCAGTCAACGAACGAACCATCATTGCGACTCAACACCTTAGCGCTGTGAGTATTTTGGTTCCTCAACCACCTGAAAACATGGCGACGATCTTTCTTGTGTGAAATTTTGATTTTCTCTTTCCATTTCTTTATGCGGCTTTTAGCGTCTTCTTCTGATATCATCGCTTCGAACTGGATGAGTTGAAAGGAACAGTGCTGGATAAATTCTTGGAGCCCTTGAATGGTCATGTCAGGTTCAACAACAGGACATCCGAAAGAAAGAAGATATTGGTTGATGTTATATACAGTTTTTTGGGTCAATTCTAAAAATGTGGGATGTAAGGGTTTCCAATGGGCAACCTTCATGACAAGTTCATGTATGGACCGGCGGACTTTCTGAATCCGTTTCTGCGTGCCGGAAACCTTCGTAGACGGAGGTAACAGCTTGGCTTTTTGGAAAGATGGCACTTTGCCTTTTTCCTTTCTAATTTTCTTCTGTGAGATCTCATCCAACATGTCATGAACCATGTCACAAAGCGTGTCCCAAAAATTGCAAACATCCAAATGTTCATCATGTTCCAACAAGGACGGAAGAAATGCTTGAAAAATAGGAAGGCATTTCTCATTTCTCTTCTGCCACGCTTGTTGGTTTCGTGGACGAGGGGGAAGATTCCAGCTTTCCACAGGTTTAAGCATCATACATTCGGTGCAAAACACTTCAACATCAAGCTCCAAATTAATGGGGCAATGACCTGGAGCTAGCGGACCTCTAAAGATTTGCACATCCTTGGCAGCAGCAATAGAAAAATGATTGAGAAGGAAATTGTCAATCCTAGTTCTATGGGGTCCAACTAGGCCAGAACTCCAGCCACATGCACTGAATGTCGCTTCTAATGGAATCTTCTTAGAAGCCCGGAGGTCAGCATCAAAATCATACCACAGTCCCGAGCACAACGCTTCAGCTATAGCTGAACTTTCAGAAGTGTCCATTTGCAGGTCGCCCCCGATTATGACGGGACAATGATCATACAGCGAGGCGAACTGAAAAATATCACGCAAAATCTCCTCCCGTGTTGCCCGCGCGGCAGAACCAGTCGGCAAATAACAATGAACCAACACAAGGCCGGTCCGACCGTTTGAAACAGACAACCAAATTGGCAGGCAATACTGGTGGAGATACTGCAAATTTTGAGGAAACTGGATAGCTGCGGATGGGATCTGCTTATGTACCAAAGTAGCAAGTCCCCCTGTGGGTTGACGAAAGAATCCCTTGGGACCCATGACTTTGGATAAAGGAGGTTGAAACCCAATGTGCAAAACCCATCCAGCCTTGCTGGCGCGATTTCGGATTGATTCAATACACTTTGGCGAAATTCTTGTCTCTTGCAGTAACATTGTCTGAGTACACTCTGCTTGAAGAAAAGCAAGAACAGTATCCAAACGCTTTCCTAAAGCCGTGACATTCAAAGTAGATACCTTTAGGGGGGGACCTTCACCAGGAAACCCCAAGCATGGAGAATACACCGAAAACAAAACGCACTGAGGCCACGAAGAAAATGCATCAAGTTCTGCCGTCGTCAGATTGAATTGGCAGGCATAGCCATTGGCCATTGCATGGGTAATCCAACGCATTCCATCTTCATAGCTAAAGCCATGAAAATGTTGACCGCTGTCCTGTTCCAGTTCAATCAGCTGGTATCGAATTAAACGGGACTGCCGTACGTGTAAAAGTGAGTTGACGTGACGGCAGGAAGCCCTACTAACACAGAAATTGATTTGCCGCACTCTGAAGGTCACAAAGATGGCTCTGCGATATGCACGGGCACTTTGTTTGCGGAATGCCCGCCTATAATATAATATATATATATATTATATATTATATATATAATATATAATATATAAATATTGTAATATATATGATATATTTTGTATATATTATATATATTATATATATAGGTATAAATATTTATTTATTATATATATATATTATATTATATATATATATTAGTGTAGTATATATAATTTCCACGCATCACTGTGTGGGGTTCCAATCTTTTGCTGGCAATCCACCGCTCCTCCCTCCTCCTCCTCCTCTTCCTCCTCCTCCTTCTCCTTCTCCTCCCACCGTCCTCCTCCCGCCGTCATCCCTCATCCTCCCTCTGTGTGTGTCAATTATCAACTTCCCTGTATCAACTTCCCTGTATCAACGCTGGGCACCGCAGCAATTGGTTAGCCTCCGTACGCTGGGACGCCGCAGCTGCACGCTGGGACGCCGCGGCTGTTTCGCGTGGCAGGCGCAGCACTTGGTGCGTAGAGTCTCTGGACGCTGGGACCTGTTTCGCGTAGCAGGTGCGGCACCTGGTCTCGCTGCATAAACTCTCTGCACGCTGGGACGCCGCGCCTGCTTCTTGCTTGCACAAAGACGGTGTTAAGGTGTTAGCTTGATTTTTTGATGGCGTGATTTTAATTCGAAATTGCTGAAAGACGATTGGCTGGAGATAGTAGAAAACCACTTGGTGGCTCTCTGCAGCTGTTTCGTGTGGCAGGCGCGGCACTTGGTGACTTCTGGAAACTCTCTGGATGCTGGGACGTCGCGGCTGGACCGCGGCTGGACCGCTGGACGCTGCGCTTTGGCGCTTGATAACTCTCTGTACGCTGGGACGACGCAGCTGCGGCTGTTTCGCGTGGCAGGCGCGGCACACTGGTGACTCTCTGTAGATGGCTGGATGCTGGGATGCTGCGGCTGTTTTGCCTGGCAGGCGCGGAATTTGACCCTCTGGATGCTGGGACGCCGTGTGTAAAAGCTGCTCTGTGTAAAAGCGTCTGTGTGTAAAAGGCTTCTGTGTACAAGCTGATCTGTCCAAAAGCTTCTGTGTGTTTAGGCCCCTCTGTTTCTTGCTGCTGTGTGTAAAGGCTTCCCTGCCTACTGTCTGTCTGTCTGTCTGTCTGTCTGCCTGCCTGCCTGCCTGCCTGCCTGCCTGCCTGTCTGTCTGTCTGTCTGTCTGTCTATCTCTCTATCTCTTTATCTGTCTATCTATCTATCTGTCTATCTATCTTTCCATCTATCTATCTGCCTATCTCTTCTCCATCCGACCATCATCCGCTCCCACCACCCCAAGGCATCACCTTCTTCTCATAACAATCGGAAGGCTTAACATGTGGGGTTTTCTTGCTCTTTAACTGATTCGTATGTCATTTTAATTCGTACAATATGCAGTATGAAAAACATCCCGTGTCCCATGTGCATGTGCATAGCATGTTCGCTTCTCCAGGCTGCCTTTTTCCGCAACAGGAAAGATCATCGCTGCCGGCCTGCTGCAGATCAGTTTCTGATGGTAGTCGAAGCAACTACTGGCTTGCTGAGATCTGTGCAACCTGAGAGTGGAACTGTCAGGTAGGTGCCTTGGACATGCTGAACTGAGGACAAAAGACTCTGATGGAAAGGCGATTGAGGATGGCATGAAGCCCCTCCTGAACATCCAGAAGGGAAGCTTGGCCTTGAGGGTGCAGGAGCTGTTCTTTGAGTACTTCTACAGCCCTAGGGTCTGGCGAAAGAACTCTGAGACGACGGCGCGATACATCGTCCACAGAGAGTTCTCCAAGCTGAAAGAAGCCACACAGAGACCTTTGAGCGACAATCTCAAGTGTATGCTTCTGCTGTTGTTTTCTGTAGACCTCAAGGCAAACAGTGAGTACGACTACAAGAGGTCTCTCACATGCCCTTCGGATCCAGTTTCCCAATGTGCAATCGACTGGAGCAGTGCCAGGATTAGCTTGGTGTTGGCAGTGGATCTGGGCAACAACAGCTGAAGCCACGTTGCAACCCTTTTCACCGGAAGCAACAAGTTTGGTTGCTGAGGATGACGTCGAAGATGAAGAGGCCTTCGCCGAGGAAGATCTTGTTGACTATGAGGGGACAGAGGACGATGGCTATACTCTGATGATGAAGCGTTGGAAGCTTTGATTGGCGAACTTCCAGATGAAGGTCTTGAGAACTAGCATCGCAGTGATTTCAAGAAGTTCAATCAAGAAGCCATCAGAAGGACCTCCATCACAAGGTTCCCCGCAGACCTTCCCCTTCAAGGCCCAAGGCGATCTGTCCTTCGACAAGAGCTCAAAGGCTCAATGCAAGGCTGCTGTCAGTTTTCTGAAGACAGTCACAGCTTGCACAGCTTGCGGTGGCAAAGGACACTGGATTGGTGACTCTGTTTGTCCGAAGTCATCCAAGAAAGGTGCTGGATGTGGTCGTGGGAAAGGCAGTTCAATCCAAAAGCCCAAAGAAGGATGCCGGCGCAGCGAGCCGGAAGAAACTATATTTTGTGCTGCACAACCGCATCGAGTCTGATGATGAGGCCATGGCGAATTTTGCCTCCAAGACCCAGAATTACCAGCCCCTGGCTTGTGAATGAGGATGTTCCAGACTTGTGGGTCCTCTGACATTTCTGTGAATACCTAGGTCCTTGGTCCCTTTGACGTTTTAAGAGTGCGCAGGTTCATGACCCCTTGGCAGTCCTTGCAAATGACAAGATCCCTGCAGAGACCTATGAAAGTGCCGAGCTCTTTGACTCTGCCAGCGTCTACGCCACGATGGCATCAGCAGCCCCCAAAAGTTTCTCTGATACCTTGCCTATCATGGTCAAGCCATGATGTATTGATGGCCCTCCGTGCGCCACAACTTTGTGAACACTGATCTTACCACGGCTGCGCAGAAAGACAGTTCCACCGTGGAGCTAATGGACACACAAGGCACATTGCTTGCAAAGAGTGTGGCTGCAACGTGATTCAAGCTCGCAGAAAGGAGCCCTTGCAATTGTAATGGGTACAGCCTTCTCGTTCTCATGAACTTGCCGCACATGTTCGAGCCCTGACTTTACAGGCTCTGGAGGATGGGCCCATCTCCAAGAAGCCACCGGGATTTTCAACAAGAGGAGCCTTGCGAGGCCTGTCTCCATTGCTGATTGGCAAGTCAGTTCAGACGATGCTGCTCCCTCTTCAGCTGCTTCTACAACATCCAGTGCTATTCCAGTGGTTACGATCGTGAGGCCTGCAAGGGCTGATGGGTATGGAGACAAAAACAAGACATACAACCACACCCAGCACCTGGGTTTGCCATGTACAGGTCATGGAAATGGCTTTGACGAACAAGCCAATGGCGTAGATGGTCTCCCTTCCTTGAGACTGCTCAAGTCAACTTCCATGGAGCCCCATCAGCCAATGGCGTAGAGTCTGGTCTCCTCTTCCTCCAATGAGACTGCTCAAGTCAACTTCCATGGAGCCCCATCAGCTTCTTGGCAAGAGGACTCAGCACCCCAGCGCCATGGAAGCAACAAGGATCATTCAGGTTTCACTCCAGCAAGATCCTCAAGATTTTGAACATGCTTCTGTTACTTTTTGCGATGTGATGATGGCTGAAGCTGCTGATGAACAACGCGATGACCTTGTGGATTTTTCTGACGATCCTGCTGATGTCACCGTGAACTATGCACTCACAGCTTCAGATGCCCCTGGACTTGCCATCTTGGACAGTGGCTGCACACGAACAATGCATGGCAGCAAGTGGTCTTCCGCTGTCGAAGATGCCCTGAAGAAGTATGGGCTGGAGCGGCAAACCAAGACCAAGCTTCAGCCCTTCAGCGAGACCGTTTCTGACACTGTAGAAGTTTACCCAGTTGGAATTGGAGGTCTCACAGCAAATTTCACTTTGCCGAGATCAAGGGTGGCACTCCTCTGCCCTCTGCTGTGTCACGTCCCTATATGCAGGAGCAGGAGCTTGGAACCATCATTGACCTTGCTAACAACACCGTTTCTTACAAGACGTTGGGCATTGAGAATCTTGCCTTGATCAAGACATCACGTGGACACATGGCCGTAAGCCCATGCTTTGCCATTCCCAAGCTGGAAGCTACAGATTGGATTTTCTCCGTAGAGGCCATTGGGGCCATTGGGTTTGGAGCCTGGGCATGCTGGGCTTGGCCCGTTGTCCGTCAGAGCCAAATGCCATTACTCACTTCCAAGCGATGCTTGATCTCCTGCGCCCACTGGACGGATGGAGTCGAATGATGAGCCCACGAACTATGGCATAATCTGTGAAGAGGATGAATCCTTGGTTTCCGATGGGAGTTCTACTGTCAGAAAGACCACCAACCGCCAGGGAAACAAGCTCCAGACACTGTGCAACATCTTGGAGTCTAAAGATTTGTCTCGGACTCGCAAACTTCAAGGTCGAGAGCGACCGCATTTCACCCAAGCCTTTCCTGCTGCAAAGCCCTGGGTCAAGCAGCTGTTCGCCAGCCAGAGGGGCCTGACGGTCATGCATGATCATAGTGTTGTTTGATTCTTCAAATTCTTGGGATGCCACTTCACAACAGGTACTTGCACGCCTTCACCAAGACATGGCTGCTGAAGACCCTTACCTCACAGTCATCGCCCATCCGTGTGGCCCTCCGTGATGGTGCAGTTGCTGAGACGGTCCGAGACCTCCGAGAGGATTCAAAGATTCACCTCACCCTGGTCAGCAAGGTGATCAAAGACCGGGTGAACGCCAATGAGCAACCCTATGGCTCTGACAGCATTGAGAAGCCAGAGATGGCTGATGTTAGGGCTTTGGGTGGAATATGGTTCTCTGTTGGCACTCGAGATCGATGGATGTCAGGCTGGGCACAAGGACAAAGGCAAGAAACCCAGCTTCTACCTGACCACCGTGATGGCTGCTCAATCGATCTTCTCTGAGTGCGTTTGCAACTGTTCACAACATCAACCACTTGAGGGTGCCAACAAATATGACCTCAGAACTGCGCAAGCCGCATAATGGCCACGTCAACTGGACCAGTTGGTTTTGCAATGTGCCATTCTGCAGGCGTTTCAAGCACCACCGGTCAGACCTGATGGTGCGTGGTCTATTTCCAGCCCAACATCAGCCTGGCACCTCCAGAATCTACAACTGGTTTGGACTCGCAAGAGTGATTGGAGTTGAACTAGGCAACCCTCGCCAATTGGAGGATGAAGATGTGGCGACTGAAGGGAGTGCTCCTCATGGTCCCTCAGTGGTGCTGATGACCGGCGAGCAGATGCGCTTCGCCAATGAAAATAAGCCCTTGGCTGTTGATGCGCGGCCTTTTGGAATTCTGCCGCAAAGACTAGCTGCACCACATGAACAACAAGATGGCCAAGGGCAGGCATCAAGCTAACCCTCAGCACCAGCACGACCAGACAGTGGAGCCCAACAGCCAACAACAACAACAACAACAACATGATGCACCACCACGTTTGCCAATTACAACACATCAACAACAAATCACAACAGACGAGCCAGAACCAGCACCAGCTGCTCAAGCAACACCACGCGGCGTCGAACACCCTTGAACACAGAAATGCGACGGCCAAATCGACTTGATGCACATGCCTATGAGCCACAGCGCGCTTCTGCGCCGACATTTCAAGACCTTCGAGGCCCTTACCTTGTTTACGATGAGCCGTGGGAAGACTATTGTCCAGAACTACAAGCCTCTGTGAAGCGCCTTCGCCTCCAGCGACTGCGCGATGAGCCAAGCGATGTTGAAGCGACTGTGATCAAGAATGATGGCCAAATTGAATTTCTACACAGGCCTCACACTGAGTTGCCTATTTAACTAGCAAGGCGGCAAGAGCGAAACATTTGCATGCAGGAGGAATAAGATTTTGCCACCGGATGAACAAAATATCAGATCAAGCTCTCCAACATGTTCCCTGCTCTCCTTCGGCGTTGTTTGCGCCGTGGCCATGCTGAAGGGTTGGATCATAGCTTCGTATGATGCTTCAACAGCCTATTTGCAAAGCAATGGTATCTCGAGATTGTTGATCCTTCGCCGCCCTCATCCACCTCCTCCTCCAAGAGTCCTCCCGGGCACGCTCTTGAGCGGCCATGGCAGCATTTATGGAAAAAGATCCTGGTCGAAGTTGGTGGATCAAGCTATTACGTGATGCTCAAGAATGTGGCTGACGTATTTCCAAGCTTGAACTTACTCTCTTTTTCTTGGGCAAGAAGTTCTGGTTGGAATCATGGGAAGCCACGTTGATGATCGTATCACGCACGGCTATGGCCCAAAGTATGACTCAGTGATGAAAACTTTCACCGAGAAGCTCCACTTAAAGCACAAGGATGGTGAGCTTCGTTTCTGTGGAAAGAACTTGGTCCAAGGCGATGACAAATCAATTTCCTTGGGTTAGGTCGGTTAGGTCGGCGTAAGAAGGCCTGCAGTACCAAGTCTTGGACAAACATTGAAGAAGCACCCCAGTACCCAAATCTTCCCCTGAATGAGGCCGAGATGAGCGACTTCAGGGCCCTCGTTGGTAGCATGGGATGGATAGCTCGTCAAACGAGGCCCCACGTCATAGTCAATGTGAGCCTTGCATCCCAAACCCACCGGCAGTCCATGAGTTCGTGGCGCCATCGAGCTCAACAAAGCTGTAAAGATGCTGAAGGAAAGCCCCCGATGTTCGATGGTGCTTCAAGCCTTCCAAGATCACCCTCGAGGACTGCATTGTTTTCGTTTGCGCAGACTCAAGCTTTGCTAAGGATTGAAATCCCAAAATGGCTATGTGATGACTGAGCCTCCCTGAGCTGAGAGATGGTGAAGAGACCGTCCATCAAACGAGCGTGCACAAGCCAACTGGCAGCTAAAAGCAACGCCATCCTTGCTGGCGTTGAGGGTGCAATCTACGGTGCGTCTCTTCTGCGTGAGATCTTGAAGCCTGGCATCGACATCACTATGCTGGGGACTGAGCATTCCCTCAAGCGAATTCTGGCCTTCACTCACTCCAAGAGCGTTGAGAGCACAATCACGATTATCTATCTAATGTTTAGGTAGCCCACTAGAAGTTTTTTTTATCCGGCAAAACATTTTTGTAATAGAATTTGTCAAAATGCAATTAATGTAGCTACAATACTAATTACTATATACCCAGTCCAGTATAATGAAATGATGCAGATTAATACGGGTTCGTCTGAGAATATGGTATCCCCAAATCCCATGGTTTATCATCGATTCACCTTGTTATGAAATGATGCACATGAACCGGCCGAAATCAATATGTTGTTAGTTCATTCATAGTTAATATCATGACATGTGATTTACAACCAATGGTAATTTTCATATATAATGATACAAACATGATTATTATCGTCGTGATTAAGATTATTCATAAAATGCCAATTAATAACAGCTGTCATCGGAGTAGTTGGTAGTGATTTTCAATAGATATCATACGACTACAACTGTAATAATATATCTATTTTGCTGTAAATCCCATGCATGTTCACAGGGTCCACGTGATGGATTTTTGAGCAAATGTTTTCTGTCACAAGTGTCAAAATCTCAATTTGATATCGAGTTTGTGAGATCCAAAAAGCACAGCGAACGGCAGAGCTGACACAACCACATGCGTTGCATGCAGCGTGCATGCACGGCACGTGGGGCTCAGGGCTGACGCAGATGCTGATGAGTCGAAACGCGACAATGTGCTTCGTATTCAGGCCAAGAAAACGGAAGACGCCAGCGGAAAACACCAAAATAGTCGGGTTAGGATTGCTTCGGTCTGGTTACTTTCTTGGAATTTTCGGACTGCTGGGTGGGATTGCTTGTGTGCATTTATCTAGAACATATATAATTGCAATTATTTAAAATCATTTTCTCTTGGCAAATGAATTTTGTTAACCCACAAAGAATGCATATCAACCGACATATTGCGAAGGCGATGTCGGGTCCCGGACGACAAGAAAGACCGAGAAACAACATCCAGCTAGACCTTCCTTAAACGTTTCGCATGGTGTTTGGCGCATGATCTTCAAATGCGTTTTTGTTTGCATCAAACTGGTTTGTCACGGAATTTTCTAGCATTTTTCGAGCGGGGGTCTGAAAGCAAAGCGACAGGTCATGACGAGCTATCCAAAGGACGGACTTCTGGGTGATGTTTTGATTCCATCGCTCTCGCCCTTCATCAGCCGGAACCCAAGACGTACCATAGGTCGTAGGCAATTTCATACGCAACATGACCAGTGGCTTGAGCAGTGCCCAGGGTCAGGGACAATTTCAATTTGTTTTTCGTCGTTTTTCTTTGTCTCTTATCCTGGTATCCTTTCCTTTTCCCTCTCACGCTCTCATTCCTCTCTCTCTCTCTTTCTCTCTCTCTCTCCCTCTCTAGCTCTCTCTTTAGTTAATTTTTTTCCCCCGTCCTTTGAGTTTTTCCACGTCCGCTTTTCTGGCCAAGGTGCAAGGACGCCAGTGCTGAAGACCTACAATATTTGGGGCAAGACTGGAAGGCACGTGCAAGAAGTTCCCTGACGCATCACTGAATGTTGATCGAGTTGCGCAGCAATGTCAGTTTCAAGTGACTCTATGTTGAAACCATTTGGAACCACAGTAATCAGTAAGTTAGATTCAATTCCAGGGTGCTGCTTTCTTGTTTGGTCCTTCAATCACTCCAACGTTTCCTTCTTAGAGCTCCACAACGTGCAAGAGCAATGAAGTTCTGGATTAAAACCCGTTTTGGGATAATGCTGCGATGCTGTTCTGTATCGATTTGTTTGTGGAGATGAGATACTCTTTTGGATGGGTTTCTCAAAGTCTTTGAAGAATGTGCCCAAACACCTCAGTCTGCTTTGCACCGCCTGTAGTTAGAGGATGTTAGAGGTAGTTTCATGCAATGATGGTCTGCATTGGCACTGTGAACACGAGGGTTGTTTAGCACCTGAAAGAAACAACTAGTTAGAAACATTTTTGTTAGTTTAATTTACTTCAGAAAAAGAATCTAAATCATGTGAAACCATGTGAAACCTGCACTTCATGGACTTACTCTGTACTTACTCTGTGCATCTTTTTTCATAGTTACTCTGAGTAAGTCCATCTTATCACCAGAAGCTCTGCTAAGCTCCGCGCAGGGAGGGCACAGGCGGCGCGGGCAACGCCGCCGGCGCCACGAATGCCATGAACAATGGCGTCGTCGGTGAAGAGAAGCGGGTTTGCCTCGGTGAAATCCTCATGGCCATCCAATGGCAACCGAGGACCTCAGGGACCTTGGGGACCTTAGGGACCTTAGGGACCTTGTCAAGCATGTGATATCAATGATAAATGATAATCAGTGATAATCAATGCCCAATTTTTATGAATTATGATGAATGATGTCAAACAATGTGCAACATGTTTTTCGAATTCTGTTATGTTTCGAAATATTTTCTGATTTTTCAACAATTTCTTTCGAAGTTTCTGTGTCTCCTTGCTTCTCCACTGTGCTATTCACAACGCGCGTTCATTTCTATGACCTGTTGCGTGTTTTCTTTTGGCTCCGGTTTTCCTGTGAATGGATGGCAGCTCACAACGAAGCTGTGACTGTGCTGCCCCAGTTCAACTAATTTGTGCTGTGGCCGTTTAGGCTGAAGAGGGAAGAGGCCTGAACAGCATCTGCTTTTGGTACCAGCATCACGCCCCGTTGTGATCATGCAGCTTGCTTTGGCTTCATTGCCTCACTGTCTTTACAAGGCTGTGGCAGTACTGAGGAAAACACTTCAGCGGTCACTGCAACTGTGACAGCGACCACCACTGCGGGCGACACGGTGACAACCACCATGACCATGACAACCACCATGACCATGACGATGACTTCGACTTCCACCGTGGTGGCGTGAAGACCGTGGAGTGAGCGCGGTGCTGGTGGCATCTGAGGCTTCCCGACCCAGCCTTTGAGTACTTGGACATTAATTTGCAATTCTGACAGCAGAAGGTAGGCAGGGCCAGATTGCCTCAGGTTGATAATGTTGATAGATGGATGTTCAGGTTGACAATTTGAGGTGTTTGGAATTGTTTGGACACCTTTTTTTACACAAAGAAAAACATTGACGTTTGGGTGAGTGGGCAATCTCAATCTTTGCGATGGGGTCCACGGCAAAATACCCCTCGCACGTTAGGCAGAACGCTCTTTGTGAATTGCAGTTGCCTGCTGGAAGCGCACAACGATGCTTATGCATAGTGCAAGAGATCCATGTCACCGATTTCTGCTGAGAAAAAAGCTTCAAAGGGTTCCTTCAATTTTTGTGAAGATCTTTAATTTAAGTTGCTAGGCCTCCCGGGCACAGGATCTTCTTTTAAGGCCATCCCATTTATCTTGTTGCATGTGCATAGCCCTGTCTGAACGCTTGTCAGCAACACGTGAGTAGTAGTGTTGTTTTCCATGTTTTTGATGTTTTTTGATTTCCATGTTGTTTGCATTCGCTGCGTCGCTGCGTGAGGAATTTTCTGAACTATGCGAAGGGACAGTTGACCGTCCAGGTGAAACACATCAAGCCACAATCTCAGCGATGGTTTTGATCGTATGTACGTCGTATCTATATATGTGTCAAAACGCTAGCCACAGCAGGTGTCCGCCCGGACACAATCGGACCGTTTTCTCGCCTGAGCACAAATTGTCCTGCGAATGCGGATCTATGCTGGAACACCCTGGATGGAAGCCGGCAGGCAAGTGGGACAGTAGACCTGGGAATGACACTGGCTTCAACACTCCGGACCCCAAGGATTATTGGCATCAGTTATTCATGGTCTATTGACTATTTAAATCGACGCACGTCAGAGGTTCCAGGGATGAGTGGACCTTGCTTCAAGTCCGGGCCACCTTGCAAACGATCGCACAGCAGCAAGTATCGGGTGAAGTCCAACAAATGGCCTTCGGCCGACTTCACACGCTGGCGACACCAAGTCTTATAGGTCATGGCCCTTTCATCCTGAGCTTGCATCAAATCTGCGTAGCTCATGTTCTCAGACTTATACTTACCCCAAGTGATGAGTGTACGGCCCCAAGTTTCCAAATCATGGGCATGAGGTGGAAAAGCAATTTTGATTTCACAAGACTCTTGGGCACTCAAGGGAAATGGACCGGCCAAGACAGGCTCGGAAACATAGCCACTCACTGGGTTCGGAAGCATCTCAGATGAGACCATTGTCGCCGGACCAGTGCTCAACCCCATCTTCTTCACTGTGACCTCCACTGGAGTTGAATCTTCTCGGCGCTTGGATCCATCTGACATCGCTCCCATAGGCATCAGCTCTGAGACCAAGGAAAAACCTCCATCACTGCAGTTGCTACTACTTTCCATAGCTGATCCAGACTTCGCTTTCTCTAGCAAGGATTGCAGCGCCAGCTGCTCTTCAGGCGTCAATGGCATTGGCTTCCAACACTGGACGGGAAACAAAAGGTTGGACACCAAAAGTGGTCAGGCTGACTCACAAATCTTGAGCTTTCTGTGCTGTGTAACAACGCAAAAACTGAAAAACCCAGGCTGGTGATTGTACAAGCTTCGAAGTCTTCATGCAAAACTGATTCCACATGACATTCCCCCAGGACATGACACGTGAATTCTTTTCCTCATGGCACAAGCTACTAAATCAATGATGTTTCAATGTGACCCTCAAGTTGCTCACTACCTACGGAGATGTTCTTGTCCGACACTGAACACTGATCACGCAACTGATGTGGCTCGGAAGAATTCTGTACATCAAACAACTTTTGTTTTCACCGCTCTCGCTCTTCAGCTTGTTGTTGCAAGACTAATTCCTCAGGAGAAATCTGGTACCGACCATGCCGCACACAAGATCTGAGCAAGTCAATTGGGTCAGCCTTGTCCTTGGTGAGAGCATCAGCTAACATACGGTTAGTGGGAAGCCATCTAACAACTCCAGCAGTGCAAGACAGTGATTCGCGGATAATCACAACATCGATGCTAGTCCTACGATCATCTATTGACGTCGGGGCTGAAGGAGAAACAAGGTGATCAAACAATGACTTGCAATCCGTGGCATAGATTGGTGGTCGATGCTGCAGCTTAGCACGGGCATCTTTCAAAGCAAAATGACCTTCTAGGGTTTCCAACATCAACAATGTCAACCATTCTACCGAGCCGCTTGCAGTGGCCATGGCCTGAGCCTCACCACCCAGTGTCGAGCTGACTGCTCGGGGCAAGCGATAACTGCGCCAAATTGCTGGCACCCAAGGAGACACTTGACCCTTGTGCATCTTACTATCTACAAAGGCCAGAACATAACCAGCTTGAGTATGAACTCCCACATTGGCGAAGGCTGCATCTGAATGACAACAAATTGTGAGTCGATTTGGGTCAATGCTTTGAAACCGAATGGAAAGGCTTTTGTGTTGTTTGGTACGACGAATGGCATTGTTGGCATCTCTCAGGTTTCCAATACGGGGCTTAGGAAAGCATTGCTGACTCAAGCTCGTTTGCACTGAAAGGTCTGGGCGCGATTGACTACTAAGCCAGTTTAAGGATCCATTGATCCCTCGCAAGACCCTGGTCTGAGATGCATCCAACGGAGTGTCAGGTCGTGCAGACTTGGGAATGAAAGCCGGTTTCAACGTTTCTGCAAAGTGCTGTTGAGACATGACAATTTCCTTACTGACTGGATCCTGTTCGTACATGGCTCCACAAAATTCACCAGCGCCTCGGCGCCATTTCCTATATGGAAACCTGGCCTTCAACTGCGCGATGGACTTTTCGAAAGTGGGGCCCATGCCTCTTACTGCTGTATCATCAACATGCACACCCATCACACCGATCAGTTGGTTCTCAGCATCACGCAGGGTATACAAACAGCAGTCGAACTTTGATCGACGCCAGCCAGCAGCCGCGGCTTCCTGGTCGAAGGTTTTATACCAGGTGGCCGGGGCATCGTTCTGCCCATAGACATTGCCTGTCACCTCAATGACTGCATCCGAAGGCACTCCAGGAATTCCACCATTGGGCATTTTCGCAAACAAAGGACGGTATTTGCTATCTAAGGGACCCGCCTCCATGAAGGCACCTTTGATATCTCCCAATTGGAGTTCCCATCCGAATGAGGCAAGCAACTGCATCAGCAAAACTCTACTGGGCAAGCTGAGCGTCGGAGATTGGCGCATACCGTCTTGGGCTTTGGTTTCAAGATCAGGATCTAAGTGACCCTGAAGACACCAACGGCTTTTGACCTTGAACGTGTGAACATCAGCTTCATTGACATGTGCTCCCTCCTCGAGAGGTTTCCTAGTGATCACAAAACGACTGCCAATGAATCGGTGAGGGAACTTCTCACGGATGGCCTGTGCCCGCTTTCCAAGATGAACTTTGACTGCACCTTTTTGGAAAATTGTTGACCATTCTGTCGTCTTGGATTCATTAACCATAGATTGTAATTCTGGAGAATTTCCACACGCTGGAAGTTCTTTCGTTGCTTTCTTTTGGATATGGGCGGTAATCAATACGTCGATTTCATGTTGGCAGGAGGCAACCTCTTCAACAGATAAGGCTTCTTCCACACCTGACGACACTCGTGGACGTGATGGAAGTGGTTCTGTGCCATCCGAAGATTCCAGCGGTCGTTTTGAAGCTGAAGATCTGTCACTTTCAGCAGTTCTGGTTTGTTCCACCGCTTGGTCAAGCAACTGAGGAACCACTTCACGCATGATTTCAACAAAATCATCTTCACGCATAGCTGCAGGTCGATACATGGCTCTATCATCAGATTTACCATACACCCTACGGCGGATGGGACCATACGAACTGCTGTGAACTTCAGGATCCAGAGGTGTTTCACCAGTGGTCGGCCTAGATTCAGCATCAGCATCATCAACTGGCATGGGAGACGGAGTTGGCACCTCTGGCGAACTGGCTACTGGTGTTGTCACCTGATCAGGCATGGATCCTGCTGGTGAGGACTCTGGCATTGGTGCGTGACCCTGACCTGGAACATCAACTTCCATCGGTTGGGAATGGCCTCCAGTGCTTGGTGGATATCGACCAGGAACCAAATCTACATACTGATGCCCCTTAAAGGTACCACCCTCGATAAGATCTCTAATTCCCAAAAGTTCAGCTTCAGGGGTCTGCACTAGGGTTTTTTCCTCCATAGTGGCTGGACGCAACTGCTCTGGGACACATCTAAGAATCTGCTTACGGTGGGCAATGATAAAGTTCCTACCTACCTTACCAATCACCATTGCAGTTCCATGCCATTGACCGCTTTGGATGACGGTACCCTGAGCTTTGGAGTATTTCTGTTCCCGCCAGTATGCTACCAGCTCTCCTGCTTGAAACTCCACAGGGACTCGAGGTCTAGCCAACAAGGCCTGTCGTAGCGCCTTATCATCCTGCAGCTCAACTACGGCTTTTCTGGCAGCTGTGCGGATGGCTTGACTCTTCTCTACCTCTAAGTCGGAAAGACCAGCTGTGGCAGGGATTACATGCAAGGGCTCATTCAACAGGTCACCATGGAGTGATGGATTGCGGCCAAAAACATATTGGTGAGGGGTAAATCCAAAACTTTGAATCATCTGGTTTTTTACATGAGCTTGATGAACACACACCTCCCACGTCGACTTGTCAACAGGAACATGTTCTTGAATCACTTTCTCTAACACACGTGCAAACCATCCACCATGATTTTCTGTACGACCCAACTGCCAGTGAGCTTCAGCGGCAATGAGGTTGGTCACTGAGCCATCATGTTCAAACAACGACTGAAGGGCTTCACCTACCATGGTTGGAGCAGGGTCCATGATGACATTGTCCGGTGGACCGGCCCAGCGAACCCAGTGCTCACTGATGATTTTACGCAAAATGGCAGAAGTTTCTTGTTCATGAAAAGGAACCGTGACCTGAAAACAAGATGCTTGGTCCACTATGTTCACCGCCTTGATCTTTTGTCCGGACTTCCAGCCCGGGAGAAACTTCACATCTATGCCGATGCACTGATTGAAGCGAGTGTACCTGCTAGTCTTCGCTGGCAATGGCACATGTGGACGTGTCTGTGCTTTGCAAAATTCACATGAAAGAGTGCGGGCCAGTTCAATGGCCCGATCACTAGCTCCACCATGCTTCAACACACGGACAAGATCATTTGCTGAAGGGTGACCCAAATTCTTATGAACCTTGTTAAGGGCTTTGAGAATGGTATCATCATCGCTGGCATGCAGATCTTGCTTGGCGGAAGCTAATACTTCGCACTCGTGAATTTCCGATTCATCCGGAACTTGCACTAGCTGCTTCCTAGCTGCTTTGGCAAACATGGGAACGGTCTTGAGCACGGCATCCACAAAACTAGGAGTATACTGTCCAGCGTATGCACTAACGGATCCAACTCCAGGTGCAGAACCAGCTACAACATCATGGCATGTATGGTCAGGATGGCTCTTACCAGGGCAGCAACGGCCGAGTGCCGTCATGTCTTTGTCTGAAACCAGCAAACCAGTGCTTTTGCGAATCAGTTGATCATGTTGAGGGAGTCTCGGTCCGTACATGCACATGTGACATTTGCACCAGTGGTGCCGCTGAACAAGCTTCTGAATTTCGGCATAGCTCCATGTTCTGGCCCCAGACGGGTGCTCAAAGATGGCTCGCTTGCCAGCTTTCACTTGGTTTTCATACAGCCTGGAACAAAACCGGATGTACATGCGACTTTCTAACTGCCTTTGCAAGGCTTCATGTGGGGACATGCGCAAAACATTGAGATTATGCCAACCACCTTCATACGTGCATGGGGGACATAACACCAACAACTCCGGCGGGTTCTCTTGGAGAAACTTGGCAACATCATCCCTATGACTCTTTTTCCTAAAGTCATCCCCAGTTTTGAGGTCGTATGATACTGCAGCAAAGCCATGTTCCCTAGCAGCCGGTGCAAACCTTGGCGGACTAAACACCTCAGCCACTAAGAAGGGCTTCCCATCCAGAAAGGATGTCTTTCGGAGTTGCTTCAGCTGCGCCTTGAGCTGACGCTGTTGGTGGACGGCAAGGCACTCCGTCGGGCAGATCTTTTCCTGTGGGCAAAACCAAAGGTCAGTCTGAAACCTATGGGTGCCTTTAGGAACTGGGGTCATGTAATGCTTCTTGTCCTTACTTGCATCTATTTCCTGGGTGAGAACTACTTGTTGGGTATCAAGGTCTGTTACCACTCTGCGGATTATCTGATGCCAATGGGGTCCTTGCTTACCACTTAAGGGAATCCATTTAAGGTTATGATCTATACGGGACCAAACACTTAAACTGGATGACTGTTCGGGACTTGGGGACACCGGGACATCAGAACACGACAACTGGCCTGCAGCATCGTCCTGAGATGTGGACTTCCCAGGCGGGGACGGCATGGGCGCTTGAGTGACTTCGGACTCGTTTTCGAGTTCAGGGCTCGGAGAACTCGACTCCGACATCATGACTTCATCAAACTGCTGGTTAGATGCTTCGGGAGGGTCCAGAAGCTGAATCACATACTGTCTTGCCTCATTTGTTTGCAAAGGCACGACCAGTTCTTCACAAGACACCCGCAGCTCACTACGACAAAAGTCAATCTTGGCCTCCAACGCTTGAAGAGCTCGTCGAGAAATCAGAAAGGGAGCTCGCCCTTGCACCAGTGCTGCATGAATTGTCCCAGGACGGCCAGCAATGACCACTGGAAGTTTCACAGCCTCATATGATGTCTCTCGGGCTCCATTGCCAAAACGGAAATGGCTCGTCTCAGCAAAAGGCGTTGGTGAAGGCACATTCTGATTCGTCCAGAGCTTCTTGAACTCTTCAAAGGTGTCTCGACCGATGATGGTCTTACCACATCCAGAATCCAGAAATCTAAATCCAGGGCTAGACACTAGCAGTTGTTCATGGACTACTGATTTAGATCGGGCCTTGAGTCGCTTCAAGACTGATGAACATAGCCCCATTGCTGACTGGAATGTTGAAACCACTTCTAAAGACACGGCGGCCACAAAATGCTCGACCACCGCAGCTCCTTGATCCTCACGATGACCCCCTTTGCTGCCACCTGAACTGCTGGCAGCTCCTTTGCTTGATCCTTTTCCCTTTGGGCACTCTCGGGACCAATGTCCCACTTGATGGCAGCGATGACATCGAGTCCGCTTTTTGAGTTCGGACACCTCCACCTTGAACTGCCTCTTCATCTCTGAGAAGCGTCATGGAAACGCCTGGCTTTCTGCATTCGATTCAGATCTTGACGTCGCTCTTTCCAGGTCACAGCTAATGCCTCGGCCATCTCAGCCTCATCGAAGATTTCGTCTTCATCAACCTGATTGTGCTCCGCCAGGAACTGCTCAACCTCATCGAAGGCTTGGGCATCTTCATGATCCAGAGAGCTGTCATCTTCTTGATCCTCTACCAGACTTGCACCATAGGTCTTGCGCTTGGGACAGGAAAACTCCGGATAACAGCTGCGCATAGCTCGGCCTACTTCATCTTGTTTCATGACACCCAGTGATCGAGCTAGCACTACCGCCTGCTGTTCACTTGTCAACCCTGATCGATGGAGAATGACCCAGCCACGAGCCTCTTCCGGAAAGCTCACATTGGTTTTTCGTTGCAGTTTGTCAAAGGCCTCTGTTGCACGCCTAATCCATGCCTTCAAGGCCTCACCCTCGTTGGCACGCAGGTTGAAAACATCCGTCAAGTTCTCGGACATCTCATCAGACGCATCCTTGTCGGGGAAGCGTTTGGTCAGCAGATCCAGAAGAACTTTATCTCCGCCCTCCTTCTGATACTTCTCTGGTTCTAGGTGTTCTACTGCTTCCAGTGCTTTCCCAGACAGTAACGTATAGATGAAGGCGCCCTTTGCAGACTCCGGCATCTTCGTTGACAGGGTCAGAAGTTTGCTACTGACCCATGCTTTCCATCTTCTAAACTCTTTGGGATCTTCATCGTTGCCGCTGAAAATTCGTTGACCTCCATGGTCGGACAAACTTGCCTCAGTTGACATGGCTTCGGGAGTCCTACCCGGAGCCCGGTCTATTACCGGGCTCCGCTACCAATGTCAAAACGCTAGCCACAGCAGGTGTCCGCCTGGACACAATCGGACCGTTTTCTCGCCTGAGCACAAATTGTCCTGCGAATGCGGATCTATGCTGGAACACCCTGGATGGAAGCCGGCAGGCAAGTGGGACAGTAGACCTGGGAATGACACTGGTTTCAACATATGTATGTATTTGAATGTATTTGATAGATTTGATAATACAACATTACAACAGTCAATCAGTTTTTGTTTTCCAACAAAATTTGAAACCCCAAATTCGCAAGCAATCAAAAAATCGAACATGTTCTGTGCGGTTCTCACACTTCCAGTCCTCGGATATTCACTCTCTTGCTCAGAATTGCAAAATCTGGGTGTGGTATGTGCCTTCGAGCAGCTCCGACAAAATCGTCCGAATTCCATGCAGTTTCCATGATTTCACAATTCAAATTTAAATCATTTTTTCTCTTCCCGCTATTGGGTTGGACAAGACACGGTCTTGCAACACTTGCGAAACCTCAAGCGCATGTGCTCCCGCTGGTGAGACAAAGTTCAAGCTTCGAGAGCGAAAAGTTAAGCTGTTGTAAAGTGTAAAGTTTATAAAGTATTGTAAAGCAAATACAATACAGTAAAAGAGTAAGAGAGAGGGAGCAATAAAGAAAGAATATGAAAGAATGCCATACTGGCAATCACTACTTTTGGAGACCTTAGCTTTGCTAACGAGAGAATGTGTCCCTACATGGATCGAACTCAATTGTTGAATGGTGAAAATGTATGAACATGATTGAACATGCTGAATTCAATAATGAAAGAACGTATTCAGGTTTTCTCGCAAATATCAGGCTGGAAAGTTGACTATACAGAAGGTCCGAAACCTTTATCTTACTTCAGCACAACATGTTTTGACGTATGTTTTTTTGAGCCAAGTGCGACTTGGTCATTTTCCGTTCGAGAGGTCTAGCTACTAGTTGGGTGAGAGATTTGTCGAGGCTAGGCTTTTAGGCTAAGAAACAACACTCCGGTCACTTCTATACACAATCAAAGACAGACACAAATGACACAAATAACCGCAAACAAGTATATGAAAGACACTATAAGTGAATCCTACTGTATCATTTACTACGACATGAATCCAACCTATCAGAAACCCGCGAACCTGACTACCACTTGAACAAAACACACCAACCACACTGCCACAATGCAAGAAGCTGTGTACTTAGTGGCTAACAACTGCTGCTGAACTCTAAAATGTGCTCGACTGAAACTACTTGCCACAACCAAACACACGCTCCGCTTGTAAATCACGTGTCCTCAACGGTCAAGTCCAAGCTCAGGTGCAGACTTGAAACAATCCAGTTGAAGAATAGATAAAAAGGACACTGAACGAGCTGAACGCCCTTTCGGATGAATTGCAGCTGAATTCTCCAGATCGCAGACCGCCAAAACACACTGACAGAGATAGACTGAGATAGAACAGTGCAACACAGAAAGACAACAAAATTCCCAACAGCGAATCTATTGGGTTTCAATCTCTGGGGCCGGGGAGAAAAACCGGAACAGTCCTGGAGCCTTGCTGGAACTCTGCCGGAACCTTGCTGGAATCCTATTGCTGGAACCGCTGGCTGGAACCACTGCATGTGTGGACATTTTTGTTTTTATATTGTTTCTTGCTTTGCCTAATGTGCCGGGTTGTGATGTTGGAAGTCTGGCTTGAACTTTCTTGGAACAGTTCTGCAACCTTGTTGGCACCTATATGAAAACAACTTCTGCATCTTCTTTGGGCTTTCTTTTGTTCTTTATTCTTTAAATTGTGGCACGCAATTAAAGATGACGATCCCTTGCTGAGACTGTGATGCTGGAATCCTTCCTTGGGCCTTTGAAGGGGAACCCTTTGCTGGAGCCCTTGCAGGAATGCCCTGAAGGAATTCCTATCAGGAAGTCTTGCAGGAACCGTTCCGGAAGCCATAACAAAACTTGCGGATTTTGTTTGAGTTTTGTTTTATTAGTTTGCATTTTTCCCTGCTTAATGTGCGGGGCTGTTTCAAAAGTCGGCAAATCCGACCAGAGGAACCCTGAAAAACCTGGAGCGATAGATCCTGGAACCCTGGAACCCTGAAACACTAAAGTCTTGGAACCCTTCAATCTTAAATATCTTAAATTAAGCCTAAAGCCTTGGAAACTGTGGGGTCGTGGTGCAAGCTCGGAACTTTGCCCCGTGACATTGCAACCTTGGAACCCTGCAAAGCTCGGGAACCTCTGTAATCCCGGAACTCTGAAATCTTGGGGTTTTCAAACCATTGAAACTTGCAACCTTGGATTCCTGGAGCCTTGTAGCCTTGGAACCTTGGAACCCCGCAGCCTGAGAATCTCGCAACCCTGGAGCCCTGGAATCCCGGAACCTCCGACCCTTTGCAAGTCTGGAACCTTTGTGCTTGCCGTGGGCCGTGGTAACCTTGGTGCAAGCATGACGGACATGTCATGACCTTTTTGCACATGTCACATGCCACCCGTTCACATGAGGGTGGGCGTTTGGGCCAAAACATTCGTGCCGCTCCCCGTGGAGCTTGACCATCAGGTTGGTCCGCTGTTTGCCCTGGTGTTAGGGTTTGTTCCACTGCGTTATCCCAGTTGCATGGCAGCGGAGCTCCTGGCTCTTCGACCGTGGTCTTCTGAGTGGCCTGCGCTGCTGTGGTGGAAGCGGTGCTCTACCTCCTCGCGCTAGTGGCGTGGCTTCGTCTTCTACCTCTTCGCGCTGGTTGGTGGCTTCGACTTCGACTTCTACCTGGACACGCTCTACAGTTGCTTTGGTGGACTTCGAGCGCTACGCTCTCTGGTGCTGCTGGGCCTACATCCTGATCTACCTGCTCACGCTGGAACTATTTCCTGGACTTCCTCTTCGACCTGGGTTGGAGCTGCTGACGATGCCGGCAGAGGACAATGTCCCAACATGGGATGGAGACCCAGCAAGCTTCGAGGCATTCGTCACGGCTTGCAAGTGGTATGCCTCCTCCTTGAAAGAGTCAGAGCGGAAGTTAGCTGCAAGCCGGGTTTGGCAACGCCTTCGAGGCGCAGCCAAAAGTGTTGTCAAACACTTGTACCCAGCTGACTATGATTCCCTCACGGGATTGGACAGGCTGATAGAAGTTCTTCGAGCTTCTCCTCTACAACGGCTACCAGTCCCGGACTCTTTTAGCAGGTTGGAGAAATGGTCCAACATGAAGCGGCTGCAGAGCGAGACAATTCCCCAATTGCTAGTGCGAGAAGAGGAGTTGTTCACAGAACTCCAGCAAGGGTTGCAGCGTGCAAGAACTGAGAGAGCAAAGATGTCAACGACTGGAGTTGGAACCAGCCGAGAGAGAGATCCACCTACGTCACCTTCAAGGTCGCCAACTGGTCCTCAAGGAGCTCAACAAGCTGATGACGATGGTGCGGCTTCTGTGGCAGCACCGGTTTCTTTGGAGACCGACTTCTTTGGTGATGAACTACGTGGATACCGTCTTCTCAAAGCTGCAAGACTCTCCAGCCAGGAGAGACAACATGTCTGGACCCTGACATCGAACTCTACGAGGTTTGTTGATGTACGCCGAGCCCTGCGGACTCTTTTCGCGGAAGAAGTTGGAGCAGAAGATCAACGGCGGAAGATCTTGTTCCAGGAGACAGCATCTTCATGGGATGCTGGTGATGACTATGATGAAGGCCCCGGCTGGCCTGATGAATGGTGGAGTGCTGAAGAAGAAGCCTACTGGTATGATGATGCCTCATGGGCTTACTACTACGAGGACGAGGACTACAGCACTGATGGATCCTGGTAAGATGACTGGGATTGGACAGAAGGGAGCCCCAAAGCTGATGATACCAACGATTTGGGATCAATCCCAGAGAATGAGCGCTACCAAGAGGCTTTTACAATAGCCCAGGAAGCCAACAAGACACTCTCAGAGGCCAGACAGGCCGTAGCAAAAGTTCGTGCTGCCCGTGGTTACTTTGACCCAGCTGGCATGAAGGGTTCCACCAACAAGGGATCCAAAGGAAAAGGCAAAACCAAGGGCAAGCCAAGAACAGCTCTTGGCCTGTGTTTCATTTGTGGATCAACGGGACATGGCTACCTGAATTGCCCTGACCGCTACTCAGCCTATGGTGGTTCCCCAAAGGGGTCGGAAGGCAAGGGCAAGAAGGGCGCAAAAGGCAAGCTGAAAGGCAAGCCTGGCAAGTTCCCTCAACGCCAGGTGAACTACGCTGGCGACTACTTTGTCGACATCGAGCAGTACAAGGAGATTGCGGAGGACGACACCCTGCAGTCCATCAACGTTCTGAGCCTGGAGAATGACAATGCAGCCAACTGCATCAACGCCTTCAAGGCCATCATAGACACAGGCGCCACTGAGTCAGTTTGTGGTGTGACAGCACAATGGCAAGGATGATTGACAGCATCCGTGACCCTGAGTACCACGTGGTGCTGCATGACCGACCAACTTTCAGGTTTGGAAATGGCCACACCCAACAAGCTACAAGCCGCCTGGACATCATGACTAAGGCCTTGAAGATGGTCTCCTTCTACCTCTTGGATGGACATGCTGAGATGACACCTCCCTTGCTTGGTGGTCGTGAACTTTGGAACAGAAATGCCGTGGTGGCCTACTGTGGTGAGTACTTCGCTCACCAGGCAGCAAATGGAGCATGGTGGACCAATCCCCTGATTCGTCTACGTGGACGTCATGTGGCGATTGACTTGGATGAGGAGCCTTCGAGTTTGGGATCATGGATCAACCATCTTCAGCGACCTCTCTCTCCTGACGATGATGATGGCGACTATGGAGATGGTGGCGGAGAAGATGGACCTTCGAGCGGCAATCGTCGACCTCGCCAACGAGATCCTGGACAAGAACATGCAGTTCATGACGCAGTTCGAAGAGCTGCCAACCGTGCCAATGGTTTTGCACCTCCTGACAACACTCCTGCTGACGCTCCCCCTAAGCAACCTCCTCAAGGAGAACGTGGTAATGACGGAGCTGGTGGAGCTGCTGGAGGAGCTGCTGGTGGTGGCGATGGACTTCACCGAGAACCTGACGAAGTCGAAGCAGTTTTTGGGCCCCGACGTTTTGGCGATGGTGTCAAGACCTCCGAGGTGATGAACTTGGATGGGACCGACAGCGAGCCCCTGGAAGTTACCTCTTTTCAATATGGCCGTGCTGCTTCCTCTCATACCTGCCGGGTTCCTTGGTGCTCTGGCAACAACTGCCGCCACAAGCCGATGAAGCGCGAGCTGGAGCCTGATGACTCTCCGAGTGACCGCAACTCCAAGCCAAAAAGTTTTAGTGCTGCCTCTGGTTCCACAACATCCCCAAAAGATGAGCCCAATCAATCTGAGTCTGAGAAAAATTGCAACAAAGTTCCCAAAGGAGATCATGGTGGGGATGGGGGTAGTGCTGGAAGTCAAGGCGATGGAGGTACAGGTTCTATTTTGATGTTGTCAACGGTTTTTGGTGCTGGCATGGATGTTTCACGTCATGAAGATCCACATCAACATGTTCACGATGTTCATCTATCTCATCATGCTGCTCATCCACATGTTCATGCTGCTCAACTATCTCATGCCCCTGCACATCAACATGATCACGCAGTTTGTCATGGAGCCGATGCGACTCTGAAGTCCCTGGCTCAAAGGCTTGAGAAGCTCAAGAAAGAGATCAATGGCCCTGTCCAGAGTTGCTGCGACACCGGTCGATCCCCGCCAAGACGGATGGCCATGCCGTGGAGCTCACCAAAGTGGCAGGGAGAAGACCAACCAGTATGCGCGGTGGACAAGCTGCAAAACATGTGGCCTACGCTTGAGCTACGTGGTGAAGACCAAAGCTGGACCGGCACCGGAACTTGTGGCGATGGCACAAGAAGAGTTGCAACAGGTCTACCAGCCAGTGGAAATGAACGAGAAGATCTTCATGGGCAAGGTGATGGAGATCAAAGGCAGAAGCCTGGTGATGCAGCGTGGTCAAGGAAGCCTCCAGGTGGAGATCAGGGCCGATCAACCACGTGGCCGAAATCTTCTGGGGGAAGCTGCAACGACCACAGGCTATCCAAGGAGATCTCAGAGCACTACGACACCTACAACGCCGACACACGCACCGCCGACTCCAACAAGGTCGACGAGGGCAACAAGGAGCGTGTCACCGACACCAAGTTTTGCCCCCTCGGAAGCAGCTGTACCAGTTGTGAACCCCATGGCAAAGGCCAAAGTCAAAGCTGCTCCAGTCCCCGAAGTGCCGGCGATGGTCCTGCCGGACTCCATGAACGAGGTGCTGGTGATTCACAGCGACGAGGAGACGCTGGAAGTGGAAGGCTAGCAAGCCTTTGGTATTCTCTGAAAGCCTTGCGAGAAAGGATGAGATCCTCTGAAGGGTCTAGTGGCACCCGGCTGGAGGCTGACCGCCACAAGGAGCCAACAACCATCAATGATGTCAACCCTGGCAACAATCAAACCACGTGCACTACGTCCACTACGCCAAGCAAAGGCACCACAAAGGAGGACATTTTGTCCATGAAAAATAGTTTCACAAGAGAGATTTTGCCGCCCTTGGCAAAGAAATTGGCAAAAGCCGCAACACTTTCTGCAATGGTCCTGGGCCCCGTGAAGGAGATCTTCGCGGCTACAGAGATGAAGTATGACCTGGTGGAGATTGCCTGCTCTCCTACGTCAACTTTGACCTCTACCTTTGAGCAGAGTGGTCTTCAATGCTTGCGGATCAACCACCGCACTGGCTTTGACCTGGACTGCAAGAAGGGCACCACAGCTCTTGCCAAGCAACTTCAAGACCATCCACCTCGTTTGGCGTGGGTGAGTCTCCCATGCACACGGCTCTCCAGTCTTCAAAATCTGACGGAGAGAGATGAAGCTGCTTGGAGCCGATTTCTGAAGCGCAGAGGTCAAGATTTACGACGTGCTGATGAAGTTGCCCGCTCTTTGGAGCCGGTGATTGCTGGTGATGACGATTTTGGATGGGAATGGCCGATTGGAGCCGTAGCTGGATGGCGTTCCAGCGCAATACAACGGTTGGAGCGTTTGGCCAAGAAACACGGCAGGGTGATCTATGGGATCAGGATTCATGGCTGTCAGTATGGTTTGGAATGGCAGGGCATCCCTTCGAAGAAAGGTTGGCAAATCATGACGACCTCTCGTGAGCTTTGGCTTCGAGTTTGCCACCGCTGCCCTGGTGATCACGAACATGCTGAATGCCGAGGACCTGCTGCCGTGGCCTCCTCCTACTACCCTCCAAAACTCTGCAACGACATCCTCAAGGCCATGAAAGCCCAATGGAACATCCAGGACAAGCACGCGGTCTACCTCACTGAGAAGTACCTGCTTGACCTCGAGCCCGACATGATGGTGAACTTTGAGGAAGATTTTCCCACGGAGAAGGTGATGGCCTTGACGAGAACTCGTCTCGACTTGGATGAAGCCCCTACAGGAAAACGTTTGGAAGCCATCAAGCAGTTGATGCTGCGAGTTCACCGAGCTTCGGGGCACAGTGGCTTCAGCAACCTTCAAAAGCTGTTGGAAGCAAGAGGCTCACCGAAGTGGGCAGTGGAATTGGCTGGGACGTTGACTTGTCCTGAATGTCAAGAAGCTGCCAAACCAGCCTTGAAGCCTCCAGCAGGCACTGAGGATGGACCTGCTCTGTTCGAGATGCTGGGCACGGACGTTTTCGAGTTCGAGCACCTTGACGTCAAGTACAAGGGCATTCTTTGGAGAGACCGAGCCAGCGGCCTCACTATGATCGACATCCTTCACCAAGGCGATCATTGGGAGCCCAAAACTGAGGTGATCAAGTCTCTCACCAAGTGGCTGATGTGTCATCCAGCCCCAACATGGGTCATTGCCGACTCTGCCAGATACTACACCAGTTGGGAATTCACTGAATACCTGGCCCGAGCTGGTGTTGGGCTGACAATTGCACCTGCAGAAGCTCACTGGATCATGGGTGCGGAGGAGCAAGCCATTGGCTATGCGAAAAGAGTGGTTGAAAAGCTCCTTCAAGAAGAAGGCCCATACGATGTGCCAATGTTGTTTCAGCTGGCAGCCCATGCAATGAACTCTCATGTTGGAGCTCATGGTTTTAGCGCGTTTCAATGGGTTCACGGAAAGGACTATGCCAATGCCACCTTGGAGAACCTCCCAGTTGGACTTCGAGCTGGCAAGGCCTTTGGTGGTCTTCTCAAGATCCGTGAAGAGGCAAGACTTGCTTTTGAACGTGAACGAGCCCGAGATCGCTTCAGCAAGCTGGCCAATGCTGTGACACGGCCGCCAGTGAAGGTGGCAACGGGTCAACTTGTGATGCTCTGGCGCCAAAAGATGAAACCTGGGCGCGTTGGTGGTTCTTGGATTGGCCCTCTACGTGTTTTACTAGTTGAAGGCAGTACGATCTGGCTGGCGACTGGAAGCACTCTTGTGAGAGCAAAGGCAAACCAGATCTGACCTGTGACCAAAAGAGAGGAGCTGACAGCCTCTTTGGAAGGCACGGCAGTCCACAAAACTCCAATCACCACTGAGACCCTGATGAGAGCGTTCAAGGGACGCTACTACTACGATATGTCTGGCAACGTGCCGAGTGAACAACAACTTCAACAAGACCTGAGCCCTACAGAAGTTCAAGTTCAACCTCGACCTGAAGCTCAACGCGCTGACACTTGGGAGCTTCGTGAGGACAAGGACTCCAAGACCCTGGTGCGCATACACCACCTTCCAAGACTTGCTTTGTTTTCTCCCCTACGAGTTCAAACCTGTCCGGTTTCCATGGACGAGCTCACTGGCAAACGCACGACAGTGGTGCGACCTCTTCAAGGTGGAGATGAAGTTCGAATCCATGATGACATGGAAGTCGCCAAGACCTTGCAAGATCGTTGGACTGGCGAGACGCAGTTTGAGATGAAGATGGGCCCGCGACCTTTGAAGGTGAGAAGAAGCGTGCCGAAAACAGGCCTCAAGCGGCCTCCTGAGAAGGACTTGGACGAGCTTCAGAAGGAGCAGAACGAGAAGGACATCTTCGAGGACGAGGAGCAACCTGAACTACCTCATCAAGATCCTCTTCAAGCTGGACAAGATCAACTTCCTGGACATGCTGAAGAAGTACCTGGGAAGGAGATTCCTTCAAGCAGCCTGAACGATGCTTTGCTGCGATATGGCAGCGACGCAGTTGATGGCCTACCAGTTCGTTTGAAAGGAAGCGCTGGCAGCAATGAATGTGCTATCCCTGGATGCGAACTACCTGGTGGACATCAAGGAGTACATCAAGGACCTGAAGGGAAGTTTCTTTATGACTCCTACGAAGGCAAGCAGTTTGTGACGGAAGAAGTTGAAGCTGAAGATGACGATGATGATGGCATCGATGCCGAATCTACGTCTTCAGAAGAACTTCTCCCAGATTCGCTTCATGTTGCACATGCTGATCCTTCTGAACCTGCCCCTCAAGAAACCTTCTTTGCCCTGGAGCTTCCTGTTGAAAGTGAAGACTATGAATGGTTGGCAAATAACTGTGTCAACCGGAAAGCCAATGTCTGGCTATCCCGCAAGATGGCTGAAAAGAGCAAAGAGGTACAGTGGAAGGAGCTGACGCTCGACCAGAAGAAGCTCTTCGACATCGCCATGGCCAAAGAGCTTAACCAAGTGGCTACTTCCCGAGCACTTCGAAACATCACCAAGGATGAGTCCCTCAACCTGGACAAGTCCCGCGTCATGAACATGCGCTGGGTGCTCACATGGAAGGGCGATGGAAGCGCAAAGGCGCGATTGGTCATTTTGGGTTTCAGGCGCACAATTTGTGCGAAGTTGAAACAACCTCTCCTACCCTTAGCAAAGTAGGAAGGAACCTCCTTTTGGCAGTTTGCGCTGCCTGTGGTTTGAAAAGCTGGGCGCTGGAGATGTCACACCGGCATTTTTGCAGACCGATCAGAGCCTGGAGTCAGAGGAGCTCTATGTTTGTGCGCCGCCTGAGCTTTCATCCTACTTTGGAGGGAACCCACTTGATCCAAGAGCTCTACGTGTTCTTCGAGCTTTCTATGGTTTGGTTCATTCCCCGCGCAAGTAGTGGGAAACCGTGGTCTCAGCAATGAAGCAATTTGGATGGAAGCCCTTGCTGGGCGACAAATGCCTTTTTGTTTTGACCGAGACGGTCGATGGAGCTGAACGGATTGCTGGAGTGGCAGGCCTACATGTTGATGATTTTCTCATCGCTGGACGGCCTGGTTCAAAGGTTTCTGAAGAAGCTGAACGTGCACTTCGAGCCAAGTTTCGATTTGGAAAATGGTCTTCAGCAAGCGATTGCTTCGAGTTTGCTGGCACCTGGATAGTCCAACATGACAATTTCGAGATCACCATGGACCAGAAGGACTACACCCTGAAGTTCATCGAGGAGATTGAGGTGGACGCAAAGCGACCACATGGAGCTGACCTCACCAAGAATGAGATCTCAGCGATTCGTGGAGCGCTGGGTACTGCTTCCTGGCGGGCGACTCAATCTGCCCCCCAGTACTTGGCAGACACCTCACTTTTGCTGGGTGAAATAAACAAGGGCAAGGTGGCCCTGATTCACAAGGTCAACAAGCTCATCAGAGACATGAAACGAAATGCTCAGCAGAAATTAATTTTTCCTCACTGGCATGGAGTTTCCCTGGACGAGCTGGCGGTGATCAGTTGGGCTGATGCAAGCAACCACAACAGAAGTGACAAGGGAAGCACAATCGGCGTGCTTACTGGACTTGCACCAAAAGGAATTCTTGAAGGGCAAGAGACGCAAGTGGCTGTTATCCAATGGAAATCTGGCCGCACACCTCGCCAAACCCTGAGTTCAAATGGTGCTGAAGTTCAAAGCATAACAATAGCTGAAGATATGAACTTCCAGATCCGTGGCCTGTTCTATGAACTATGTGGCCACCAGCTGGAAAGGAAGGAACTACATCGTCAGATAGCTTCCGTACCTGGAGCCGTTGTGATGGATTCCAAGGGCATCTATGACGCCTCTACAAGGAACCTCTCAAGCCTCCATGGACTTCGAGATTCAAGAGCTGGGTATGAGCTGACCCTGGCGGTGATCCAAGCGCAGAAAGCTGGAACCCTTTTTCGTTGGGTATGTGGGCTGGCGCAACTGGCTGACACCTTGACCAAGTACAACGATCGCAAAGCCCTTCTCCAGTTCTTCGCGCAGAAGCAGTTTTGGAAGCTGGTGCATGACGAGACCTTCACTGCTGGCCGCAAGGTGCACAAGAAGGCCCTCGAACGAAAACTCCGAGAAGATCAAGACTTCTTTGTAGCTGCTGTGAAAAACATGGCCGAGAAAAGCGGTTGGCCATGGATAGAAGAAGATATAAGAAGATGTACAGTACCATCCATTTACTTAGACCTGTAAAGTGTACAAAAAGGTCAGTAAGTGTATGGGATGCAAGCATGACGGACATGTCATGACCTTTTTGCACATGTCACATGCCACCCGTTCACATGAGGGTGGGCGTTTGGGCCAAAACATTCGTGCCGCTCCCCGTGGAGCTTGACCATCAGGTTGGTCCGCTGTTTGCCCTGGTGTTAGGGTTTGTTCCACTGCGTTATCCCCGTTGCACTTGGGTAACCTTGTGCACTGGAAACCCTCAAGTTTTACCTGAAACCCTGCATTTTTGGGGATTCGCATAGTATGGGTCCCTTGGTCCATGGATCTTGGAACCAGGGAACTTTAGAGTCATGTAATTTTGGAACCCCGAACTTGGCCTCTTACAACCATAGAGCCTTGCTACCCTGGCTGGAAACCGAAAGCCTTGTGAAAAACTTTGAACTTTGGAATCTTGTGAACCTGCAGAATTGACGCTTTACTACGGATCATATGTGTTTGGCGTTTGTCTTGCATGGCTCTGGTCCTTTTGTTGCTGATGAATCAAACCCCCTTACAAGTCTGAACCTTGATGCTTGGAACCTTGAACCCTGGAAACCTGGAACCCCAGAACCCTGGCAATCCTGGAAACCTGCAACTGTGGAACCGTGGAATCCTGCAGACCCTTGGGACCTTGCCCGACAACATTGCAACCTTGGAACCCTGGAGCCTGCTGTTGAGTTGCAAAGCTGGGTTAATCTGTCAAAGCATGGAGTAGATCACGCACACCCATGCAGACAAGCATTTTTTTCCCAACAGCGTTTCCTTAGAGGTCTCAGCCCAGCTAAAGGTGCTTCCGGTGTGGGTTCCGGCTGGTTCCGGGAGGTTCCAGTGATTCTGGAGGTGCTGGTGTTGGTCCCCGGGTTCCAGATGGGTCTGGAGTTGGAAGTTTGGGTTTGGGTTCCGGAGAGTGTGCACGGGTGGTTCTGGAGGTCCAGGTGTGGTGTGTCTTCCCCACCTGGATGTGCTGTTGGGGATACCACCACAAATTTATTTGCATACAACGAACGAGCCCAGAACGTTTGTAGCTCACCTTTTCTGTGCGCAGCCAGAAGGTAAACCCAAGCAACAAGAAACCATTTGCATTCTCATCCCACGTTGGGGGCGGGTATAAATATTCTGACCCTCACATTTGCTTCTGTAGTCTGACAGGAAGCGAGGTGAACAAGCTGTGCAGAAGAGCCAGATGTTTTTCAAACGACAAGAGAGTCAACCGTATTCGGTATGTCCGGAAAGATGTGGAACCTCAAGAAAGCAGACGTGATTTCCTCTTGTCACTGCCGAAAGCCAAGATGATTGATCAAATGTTGAAATGACGCAGTTCAGCAGACCCGATTTCCCCAGGTTCCATGAGTTCCACATCCTCGAGCCCTACAACATCAATCCCTTCATCCATGTGTACATGAGCAGAGCTGCCAGAGAGCTCAGCCGTATGGCACATATGGCACGCTATGCACGAGTTATGGGAGCAACTGGATTGGGATGTTATGGTCTCGCCATCTCGACACACTCTCTTGTTTGTAATTGTTATATTCTTAATATATTGAATAATTGATTCTAAATATTCTTAATATCGTTGATTTGTTATACAATTAATATGTAATTGAATTTACTATAATTGAATATAGAATTATAGTTGATTAATATGTATAATAATTGAATATGCAATTGTATATTGATTTGTTATACAATTTGATACAACAAGAAAGTAACAATTGAACAAGATGAAAATAATTCGACTTCTCATGAGAGTTTAATTCGTTGAATTTGGGGACCGTTTGGGACCGTGCACAATCCGTCCTAGGTGGCGGGAAGCCCGGGAAGCCGCGAGTGGGCAGAGATCAAGCGTTGGGACCCACGGTTACACATGACACAGGCCCAGCAACAGAAGGTTGGCGTGCCAGAAACTCAGATCTCAACTGAAAGTCAGATGGGAACTCAGGGAACATCATGGGAAAATATGGGAAACTCAGAAGCTTGACAAACATTGACTGAAGAAACTGAAGGGAACTGAGTTCTGACATGTTCTGACAGCGAAGCTCAGATGTCAGGAGTGCTCGGCAAATGTGGGGCAGCGTCAATGATTTTTCCCTCAAGAATTTGATTTGAGACTCTTTTTTGAACGAAGGCACTTTTTCTCACAGAAATACCGTTGCTCAGCACCAATGGGCGTCTCTGGTGCGTTCGTTTGCCAAGGTTTTCAAGGGGGCCATATGGAGGAGTCATCAAGTTTGATCCCACAATGCGGCAGAGGGCGTTCGGGAAGCCCAGGAACGAATTCACCCAGATGCTGAGCTGTTTGTTAAAAGAGCAAGCACAAGCTGTTTGGTTTGGGTTTGATACATTTGGGAACCTGGTTTCTTTCGGAAACTACAAGAAACTCGTGTTTAAGAAAACCGACAAAATCCTTTGTTTTTGTCCCAAGATGTTCTCCATGACCAAGCCATGTATTCCGTTGTCACCATGGACTGATAGGTTGTCCACATTTCTTGTGGTTTCAAAACCTAGGGTACAGTATAACCATGAACACCTAGGGTACAGTATAACCATGATAAGGATACAGGAACAACGATAAGGTTCAAAACCCGTCTCCGGTGATACAGATTCACAGGATAAGCATAGCAAACATTAGCAAAGGATTTATCCTTTTGGATCCTTGTTAGACCAGATGTTTTGTTTCTAATCGTCTTCAGGAGGAGTTGGCGGGTAATCCAGACGCGCTTTTGTTTGGGACAGAATGACTCAAATTGGCACGTTTTGAAAGAGCTTTCTGCCGCGATGTGCTTGCGATGCGCTGGCGATGTTTGTAATTTCTGGGACCTATTCTTGAAGTCATCTTGGTTCATCGTGGGTCTCTTTCGTTGGAAGTTTGAAAGTGGACGTCATGGTTCACTGAGGGCTGGCGGCGGTGCCACGCTGGGTCATTGGGTGCAGCATGGCAAAGACCAGGGCTGGGTGCCTTTGTCCACAGACAAGAAGGCCGACGGTGAGCGCCGACGGTTAGACTCGGTGAGATGGTTGGAATTGACGCGGATGGAAGACCGATTGGATAACTATCGGCGATTTGGAAACTACGATTTGGAAACTACGCTTTGGGAACTACGGTTGGGAAACTAACAATCTCTGCTTCAGTAACTGCGTTTCCCCGATTTGGAAACTATGATTCCGAAACTACAAATCCCCGATTTGGAAACCAAATCTCCGCGATTTGATAACTAAGAATCTCCGATTTGATAACTATGTTTTGGGAACTGAATTTCCCCGATTTGGTAACTACCATTCTCCGATTTGGTAACTACAATTCTCAGATGCTTGGTAACTAAAACTCTCCGACTTGGTGACTAATTGAGGAAACCAGACCTGACCGATTCGGCAAGCATGATTTACACCTTGGCTAATTCGATTTAAGAATTAGGAATCGCCTCGAGCAACTATCCTTATTTGAATATCACGACTTCTTGAGCAAGAGTATGCCTCAACCTCACAGCTTCACCTCTCCAAGCCTTCTTGTCACGAGTCCAAGTCATTTTCTAAACCTCCCCCCCCAAAACCCTACATGCAAGAGTATTCCTCAACTTCACAGCTTCACCTCTCCAAGACTTCTTGTTAGATTCTAAGTCATTTTCTAAACCTGCCCCCAAAAACCATACATGCAAGAGTATGCCTCAACTTCACAGACTCCCCCCTCCAAGCCTTCTTGTCACGAGTCCAAGTCATTTTCTAAACCTCCCCCCCCAAAACCCTACATGCAAGAGTATTCCTCAACTTCACAGCTTCACCTCTCCAAGACTTCTTGTTAGATTCTAAGTCATTTTCTAAACCTCCCCCCAAAAACCATACATGCAAGAGTATGCCTCAACTTCACAGCCTCCCCTATCCAAGACTTCTTGTCACGATTCCAAGTCATCTTCTAAACCTCCCCCCCAAAACCATACATGCAAGAGTATGCCTCAACTTCACAGCCTCCCCTCTCCAAGACTTCTTGTTAGATTCTAAGTGATTTTCTAAACCTCCCCCCCAAAACCATACATGCAAGAGTATGCCTCAACTTCACAGACTCCCCCCTCCAAGAGTTCTTGTCACGATTCCAAGTCATTTTTTAAATCTCCCCCCCAAAACCTTACATGCAAGAGTATGCCTCAACTTCACAGCCTCCCCTCTCCAAGACTACTTGTCACGATTCCAAGTCATTTTTTAAACCTCCCCCCCAAAACCTTACATGCAAGAGTATGCCTCAACTTCACAGCCTCCCCTCTCCAAGACTTCTTGTCACGATTCCAAGTCATTTTCTAAACCTCCCCCCCAAAACCCTACATGCAAGAGTATGCCTCAACCTCACAGCTTCACCTCTCCAAGACTTCTTGTCACGATTCCAAGTCATTTTCAATACCTCTCCCCCAAAACCCTACATGCAAGAGTATTCCTCAACTTCACAGCCTCTCCCCTATCAAGACTTCTGTTAGATTCTAAGTCTTTTCTAAACTAACCTCCCCCCCCAAAACCCCACAGCAAGAGTATGCCTCAACCTCACAGCTTCACCTCTCCAAGACTTCTTGTCACGATTCCAAGTCATTTTCTAAACCTCCCCCCCAAAACCCTACATGCAAGAGTATTCCTCAACTTCACAGCCTCCCCTCTCCAAGACTTCTTGTTAGATTCTAAGTCATTTTCTAAACCTCCCCCCCAAACCCTACATGCAAGAGTATTCCTCAACTTCACAGCCTCCCCTCTCCAAGACTTCTTGTTAGATTCTAAGTCATTTTCTAAACCTCCCCCAAAAAACCCTACATGCAAGAGTATTCCTCAACTTCACAGCCTCCCCTCTCCAAGACTTCTTGTTAGATTCTAAGTCATTTTCTAAACCTCCCCCTCCAAAAACCCTACATTCAAGAGTACTCCTCAACTTCACAGCCTCCCCTCTCCAAGACTTCTTGTTAGATTCTAAGTCATTTTCTAAACCTCCCCCCCCAAAACCATACATGCAAGAGTATGCCTCAACTTCACAGACTCCCCCCTCCAAGAGTTCTTGTCACGATTCCAAGTCATTTATTAAACCTCCCCCCCAAAACCCTGCATGCAAGAGTATGCCTCAACTTCACAGCTTCACCTCTCCAAGACTTCTTGTCACCATTCCAAGGCATGTTTTAAACCTCCCCCTCCCAAAACCCTACATGCAAGAGTGTCCAAAGAAAAAAAAGCACGCGGATAGCTGTGGATTCATTCGAGACTATCGTTTCCATCGAACACGTTCGATTTGGTTGCCCACATAGACATGTCATTTTGCAGATAACATGGTTTTACCGAATAACTGTTTTTAGTTACTGAATCAATGTTTCATAGTTTCCAAATAACACGTTATAGTTACCAAAGAGTATGGTTTCCAAATAAGACGTCTTAGTTACCAAATCAGAGTTCGTAGTTATCAAATCACATGGTTACTAAATAATACCTTTTAGTTACCGAATCTACGTTTGATTGTTTCCAAATATCACGTTTTAGTTACCAAATAACATGGTTACCCAATAACACGTCTTGGTTACCGAATCAAATGTTTTAGTTACTCAATAAAACGTTTTGGTTATCCAATAAAACGTTTTAGTTACCCAATAAACCCGTGACCAATTGACGCGTTTCACAAGTGTTCGAAATATTCATCCGTTTTTTCATGTTTTCATGAAAGGAAAGGACGGCATTTTTTGCCCACCGAGGGCCTCTAGATTTTAACAGGAATTTCTACTGTGGCATTGCAACTTACTGCTAGTACTGACGTGGTGGTTGCTGCCGTTGCTACTGTCCTTGCTTCTGTGGTTGTGGTTGTCGTTATTGTGGTTGTCGTTCTCGTTGTCGTTCTGGTTCTCGTTGTTGTTGTTGTCGTGGTTGTGGTTCTGGTTGTGGTTCTGGTTGTGGTTCTGGTTGTGGTTCTGGTTGTGGTTGTGGTTGTGGTTGTGGTCGTCGTCGTCGTTGTTGTTGCTGCTGTTGCTGCTGCCATTTGCTGTTGGTTGGCGATTGTGATGAGGGTGATGCTGATGACGAGGATGATGCCGATGATTGTGATCATCATACTGTAACACGTAGAAATGGTGACGGTGGTTGTGTTGTTACTTGCCATGTTTCTGATGTGTGTGTGTTACATCCTTCTTATTTGTTCTTCCGGCCTTTTCTTCCTTCTCCGTGTTCTCCCCTTGACGTTTCTGTTCTTTTTCTCTGGTCTTTTCTGTTGTGACTAAGAATTCAGTTACTGTCGTTGTTCTTGTTCTTGTCGAGTTCTTGTCCTTGTCCCTATGTTTCCCCAACAGTTCATCTGAGTGCACCAGTGATGTGCCAGTGCCCACTCCCGCGAAAGGGACAACATGTGAAAACCTACAGCCAGTTGCCTTCCGATTGCCTTCCGATTGCCTTCCGCTTTCTTGCGGTTCCTTTCGTATTTTTGCAGGTCAGTGGGCACTGGGCATGGAACGATGCGTGGACCTCGGGCAAGGGAAAAGTAATCAAGGCAAGGTTGCCAGGGAAGTACGCTGCCAATTATGGTGCTGTTCCAGAATGGTGGAGGAACTGAACTACCTCGCCCAGAGAGCAAATTGCCTGTAGTGCAGCCAAACCTTGACCCAATTTGCGTGCAGCGACTTCAGTCCCAGGATTTTGAGTGGAGGTTGACCTTATGTCAACAAGCTTAGAGCATATTAGAGCTACATTCAAGGTGATGGGTTTCTCCGTCCCGATTTTGGTATGCATGTTTCGTGCATTTTGTGATTTTTATTTTGAGGTTTGGGGCAAGCAGTCCTCTGTCCTCGATCTTGAAGTGCTGGCCCCAAGGATGGATAGAGTTCGGACTTTCTGGGACTTCCGGGGCAGATGGGTTGGCATTTTTTTGCTGGACCATTGGTTCGCAATACCTTCAGGTTATTTTCAGTCTCCAGCAGCAGAATCCGTTTTAGGTAAGGTCCTCGCTTAAGAACGCGGAGAAACGCATCGCTTTAGAACGCGCCGAAAAGCAAAATCATCATCATCACCATCACCATCATCATCCTCATCGTCATCCTCATCCTCATCATCATCATCATTGTCATCGTCATCGTCATCATCATCATCATCAGCAAAATCATCATCATCGTCATCGTCATCATCATCATCATCGTCATCATCATCATCATCATCCTCATTCTCATCATCATCATCATCATTGTCATCGTCATCGTCATCATCATCAGCAAAAGCATCAGCATCATTATCATAATCATTATCATCGTCGTCGTCGTCGTCAGCGCCATCATCATCATCATCATCATCATCAGCAGCAGCAGCATCATATTCTCCTTCTTCTCCTTCCCCTTCTTTTTCTTTTTCTTCTTTTTCTTTTTATTCTTTTTCTTCTTCTTCTTCTTCTTTTTCTTCTTCTTCTGCTTCTTCTTTTACAATGGTTCTGAAACCCATCCCCTCCCCCCAAATAAACCCTAAATGGCTAGGTCGTTGAGCATAGTGAATTTCAAGGTCAGTGAATAGTGAGAGCCATTGCAGTGGAATACATGATGTGATGCGTAAAATTCTCATTGGCCGTGACCCTTCAAAGTGCTGCGCCTGTCAGTAAATCTGATCTCGTGTTTTACGATGTTTTACGGCTGTGTTCTGAAATGATGTCTCAGATCGTGTTCTAAAGTGATCCTTTTACCATTGTTTTTGGCTTCAAATCTTCAGTGCGCTCCTGTGACCGCTCCTTTGATATATTTGGCACACCCACACCCGCAACTATCGCAACTGCACCTGCTGCACCTGCTGCACCTGCTGTACCTGCGCAACGGGCAGACAAACCATGACAGTGCAAACAGAGATGCATGGTGGCACCGTGATATGACATATGTATGTATATTATATATATATATATATATATGTGAATCAGATGTAGGCGACAGGCATACAGGTTCAACACTCACGCACAATGCATTAATTCATGCCAGCGATCACAAACTGCTACGCTGGCTCAAGCCGGCTCAAGCTGGCTTAAGGGACGACCGCTCCATCGCTGCATGGAAAAGAAGCGTTGCTTGCCGCGGCTTCATTAAGGACTTTGGGAACGCAAGAGCCCCGACAAGACCAATTACAAGTTGACGGGTGGTACGATAAACCATTCACAGGTTATCAGCCGTACGCTCACTCTGGGCGTACGGTGGTCCCAAGCGGTACTTCATTCTCTTCGGCATCCCGGTCCTCCTGCCCTTCTACAAGTCATAGACCTGCACTAAACGGAGGTGGACTGATAGCAAAGAGATGTCGCAGAAGAACCAGTCGAGCAGCAACGACACGAGCTTCACCTTTGCGGCGAACGCAGCTCCTGCTCAGGCGATCAGTGACACGCCTGGATCTGCAGAGAGCGGAGGTGGCGGTACGGTCTCGTACCGAGGACCTGGAAGTGGAGCGTCTTCACATAGCTTCACGGTGGTCAATCAAGCTGGTTCCCTTCGGGGAAGTGCCAACAGATCAACGTCGGCAAGATCTCCTCGCGCAACGAGAACCCGCACTATGGAAAGTGGCGACGCTGGTGGCCGGAGCCCGTCGGGCACGGCCACGCGGGAGGATGAGGTGGGCAGACCTGCTACCTCATCCAAACGCAAGTCATCGACTAGTGCTGCAAGGAACGAGAGCGAGGCACGATTGCGACGTCAGCTTCAACACAACATCGAAAAGCTGGAAAGAAGTGAACAAGCTAGGACTGAATTGGAAAATAGATTGGCTTTGTATCAAGATGTTCTTGCACATCGTGATCAAATGGTCAACAATGTAGAGGTCTATTCACATCAACATCATGAAAAATATCAATAACATAACATATCAACTCAGAGATGGAGTTTATGAGAAGATCCCTCATTAATGCATACAACTTACTGGACGAACAATCCAATGCTCTGGCTGAGGCACACCTCATGGACGAAGGTTCAACCCAGAGGATCTACGAGCTTGGGAAACGTGGTCAACTTGCTGAAGCAGGTGCGGCCCATATCGTTCAGGAAAGTATGGCTATGAGGGGAAGGTACCACTCTGAATTGGAGAATGCATCACAGCTTATCCGAGAACAACAAGAAATGTCTGAAGCCATGGCGAATCACTATCGTCAAGATGGGCTACGACTACGTGAAGCATGCGCACAGTATGTCAATGAGAAGGAGATGGCAAACAAAGAGGAGATGGAACTCTTGAGACAGAGATTGACAGAGAGTTCACAGATGATGGTTGTCAGCAATGAGATGGTCATGGAACATGGTCAACGAGCTGTTGCGCTACGAGATGAGCAATTGGCGGAGATGCAATCAGCTATCAATGAGTTGACGGCAAGTTTGAAAAGAAAGGATGACATCATTGCCGCCAAGGACAGTGCAACACGTGACCATTTTGCGAAAGTTCGTGATATGGCGAACATGGCTCAGAAGAAGGATGAGTACCTTTGGAAGCACAATGAACTACAAGTGGAGATCAGACACCTCATGAAGTTGAATGAGAATGAGATTGATTCGAAGGAATGGCATGAGGAAAGATTCATAGAGTTATGAAGAACCGAGCCAGCTACACATTGGAAATCTTTAAAATATTTATTGTCTCATTTTTTTATCATTTTGGTTATCATTGCATTCATCATTTTTTTATCATTTATTTTATCATCTTCATTTTTTTATCATGTTTTTATCATTTTTTTAATCATTGTTTATCATTTTTTATCATTTTTTTTATCATTTTTCATCATTTTTTCTTCCAGTGGTGCAAAAATTTTCCAAGAAATGGAAAATTACAATTTTCCTCGAGTTTTTTCATTTTTTTATCATTGTCTTATCATTTTTTATCATTTTTGCTTCCAGTGGTTGAATTGATGAAAAATGTTAAAAAGTGATAAAAAATGAAAAAAAAATGATTAAAAAAAATGAAAAAAATGAAAAAAAAATGAAAAAAAACTCGAGGAAAATTGCTATTTTCCAAAAAATGAAAAATTGCAATTTTCCCCGAGTTTTTTTCATGTTTTTCATTTTTTTTCATTTTTTTCATGTTTTTATCATTTTTCATCATTTTTGCTTCCAGTGGTGCAAAAATTTTGCAAGAAATGGAAAATTACAATTTTCCTCGAGTTTTTTTCATTTTGTTTATCATGTTTTAAATTTTTTTGCTTCCAGTGGTGGAATTGATGAAAAATGATAAAAAAAAGATGAAAAATGATAAAAAATGAAAAAAAAATGATAAAAAAATGAAAAGGAAATGAAAAAAAAACTCGAGGAAAATTGCAATTTTCCAAAAAAATGAAAAATTGCAATTTTCCTCGAGTTTTTTTCATTTTTTCATTTTTTCATCATTTTTCATCATTTTGGCTTCCAGTGGTGCAAAAATTTCCCAAGAAATGGAAAATTACAATTTTCCTCGAGTTTTTTCCATTTTTTTATCATTTGTTTATCATTTTGTAATCATTTTTTATCATTTTTGCTTCCAGTGGTGGAATTGATGAAAAATGATAAAACATGATGAAAAATGATAAAAAATGATAAAAAAAATGAAAAATGATAAAAAAATGAAAAAAATCGAGGAAAATTGCAATTTTCCAAAAAATGACAAATTGCAATTTTCCTCGTTTTTTTCATTTTTTTCATTTTTTTTTCATTTTTTTATCATTTTTTTCATTTTTTTTAATCATTTTTGCTTCCAGTGGTGGAATTGATGCAAAATGATAATAAATGATGAAAAATGATAAAAAAAAATGAAAAAAATGAAAAAACTCGAGGAAAATTGTAATTTTCCATTTCTTGGAAAATTTTTGCACCACTGGAAGCAAAAATGATGAAAAATGATGAAAAAATGATAAAAAAAATGATAAAAAAATGATTAAAAAAATGAAAAAAAAGATTAAAAAAATGATAAAAAAATGATACCTGAAATGAAAAAATGAAGATGATAAAATAAATGATAAAAAAAAATGATGAATGCAATGATAACCAAAATGTTAAAAAGTGAAAAAATAAATATTTTGACCTGGCCCAGTCTGTGGCTGCAAGTTTTTCATAATCATAGAGGAGAAGAATGAGTACCGAAGATTCAGATACACTGAACTTCAAGCGTTCAAGGATAGGGAAGTCAGCGTTGAGGCTGTCAAGGATGAGCTCATGGGCGAGAACATGAAGTTGATAGAGTCCAACAATCAACTGAGGACCCGAATCACCGAACTTCTTGGATCTCGACTCGGTATTGGCGGTGACGAGACCAGTATCAAGGTGATCGAGGAGTTGCATGATGAACTTCACAAAGCAAACCAAGAGATCAATCGACTCCAAGAAGGGATAGAGTGCAACCCTAACTTGACTGAGGCACTCGTCAACGCAGAGGAAGCAGAAGCAGATAGATGGAAGAAACTATACAAGACAGCTTGTGCCGAACGTGATGCAACGATCAGGAAGAATGACTCCCTGAAGTTGTCACTCCATGATGCAAAGTGGGCTATGAAGTCGATGCCGGCTTCATGGAATGCACCGGCTCCTGCCGCTGCTGTACCTGCATCACCATCAGCTTTACCTCCTACAAGTTTGGCTCCGAGAGCAACGACATCCACAGCCAAGACGCCCTCTTTTGCGGTATCGATTGCAACACCGAGAGGAATTCCCAAAGCTTCATCATCCACAAAGAATCATGGACTTGCATTACCAAGTCCCCCTGGCGCAAATAGCGCCACCGACAACAAGATCAACAATGAGATGGATGATCTTCGTGAGAAGCTTCGCCTATCTGAGGAGCGAGCACAACAGAACTATGATGAAATGAAAGAGTACCAGAGTTGGTTAGAACAGGTGGAGGAAGGACAAGAGACGTTAAAGGGAAGCAATGCTCCTGAATATGACCCTGTCCCTGACAATCCACCTGGACTTTGAGATCGAAAAGATGGCAAAGATGCTAGTGTTGCCAACAGTGACATTGGCCAAGATGGAAAAGATTGGGTTACTCGAATCTCGAGGAAGGAGCACGAGAAGGTCATCGTCAAGCCATGGCCCAAATGTCAAGATCTTGATGTGTGGCGTTCAAACGTCGTACAAGCTGTGTGCGTTGCATCGGGAGATCCTGACACTGACGCATGGAGAAGATGGTTGACTCCTGCTCAACTACCTAATCCTGACTATGCTGAACTCGCTGACTCAGGTGAATTCCGTTTCCAGTCCATCGACTCCAAGCTGTCCATTGCCTTGCAGAACATGGTGGATGCTGCTGGTGAAACAGCATTCGAGGTCAAGGTTCGGATCAGACAAAGGAGTCAAGTACTTGGCAAAGAAGGGAATTTCCTGATGGGTAGAGAGATATTAGCAATGATACTTGATCATTTCAGAACGACATCTAAAGATGAAGTGTTGTTCAATGCCAGCCACATCTACAAACTACAGTATCGTGGTGACAAAGAGATGGACAAGTTCCTCAACGCATGGATTGAAATCATTGCAAATATGAAGGTTGAGGACATTCCATCTGACAATACACTACGTGATCATTTCCTGAGGAAGATTGATGGTTCTCAGGCACTGCATGTCGACCTCGCGATCTTCAAAGGTAGGGACAATGATGATGAGAAGAAGTCCTACAAAGAGTTGTTGGTGCTCATGAAGAGACACATTGCACGTGTACGAGAGGATAGAAACATTGCAGCCAGAGACAAGTTTGCCACAGACTACACCAATCTTGGTAAGCCAACTACCCCTGCACCAAAGCCTGCGGCTCCAACACCCACACCAAAGGATGGTAAGACCGGAAAGCCAAGTGCGCCAGCACCTAAGGGTAAGCCTGGAGCCCCAGTTCTCCCATCCGGCACTCCAAAGAGTCACGGCAAGGGGAAAGGCAAGGGTGGTCGAAGATCCAGATCGCCTTCTACCAAAGACACTTCCAAGACCTTTTGTCACTTTCACTTCAACAAAGGAAATTGCAAGCATGGTGACAAGTGCCAATACAGCCATTCTCAATATCATTGGGACAAAAGGAAGGACAAGGGTGGTAAGGGCAAGAACGGTAGATCGGCCACACCAAGAAGATCACAGACACCTGGTGGAAAGAAGGACCGCAACTGCTATGGATGGTTGAAGGGTGATTGTCAGAAGGGAGACAAATGTACTTTCAAGCATGATCCAAGTATGAAAGGCAAGAGAGCTGCCCCTTCGACGAAGACATCCGATGCCAAGGCCACTCCTGCATTGGTCCGTGAGTACGATGATGACTTCATCGTGAACGCTGTGCCAAGCGAGAAGAAGAACAAGATGGATGTCAAGTTCAACTATCATGTGGAGATACATGAGCACGTGAAGCCTGACTTTGTGGAATGCTCCAACAGAAAGCCAAGAAGGAACCTGTCTCGAGCTCAGAAGCGATCATTGACGTGCAGAACTACCAAAGAAATTATGGATGACCAACAATGGATGTTGCAATCCAAATTGGGCATGACAAGAGCACGTGCGATTGGCATACTGATGGATGACTATGATGAGTTTTCGGATGTCGACGAAGTACATGTTATCCTGGGACCGAAGAACGCTATCAAGCTCAAGATCAACACCAATGAGTATCTAGAGAACAACCCCCGAGCTGCGATATGCTATGAGGAGATTATCCCTCATGTACCAGGAAAGTATGGTCGTCGTGACAACATCATGTGCATCACCATGCCGATCGAGCTCAAGGACAGATGCTTCATTGTGGATTCTGGTAGCGGTCATGACCTCATCTCGTCTACAAGAGTTGATCGAATGGACATTGACACTTACCAGAGTGACAGAGTTAACTTCCACACTGCGAATGGCATCACATCCACATCTACTATGGTGGGCTTGGACTTTGACACATTCAATGAACCTGCTAAAGCTCATGTGTTAGAGGATACTCCATCAGTTCTATCATTGGGAAAACGATGCATGGAACAAGGTTACACCTTTGTTTGGCCTAATGGGAGAGAACCCTACATGATCAACTCCGAAGGTGACAAGATCAGGATGGAAGTTCACGATCTCATCCCGTATGTCTACCTTGGGGCCAAAGACTATCGGCCAATGCCTGACCATGAGGCTGAGTTGGTGATGAAGGTGCTGGGTCTCATGGGCAACAATACAGCATCGAGGACGATATACCTTGATGGTGAGAGTGGTGATGAAATGTCTGAATCAGATGACGGAGTTGGTACGTACGTCGACGGGCCAACAAAGTCCCTGAGGAAGACAAAGAAGAAGAAACGATCTAGACGAAAGACAGTTCCTGCAGCAGCTGGTGAAGAACTTGATGAAGATGATGGTTATGAGCCATCCATCCGCGAGGAGAATCCAGATGGGGATGATGTTCATGTGGATGATATCCCCGGTGTGGATGAAGATGGCGATGACGATGATGATCGATGACCAGCTGCTGATGATGTTCCAGAAGATGATCAACCTGATGAAGATGAAATTGGTGTTGAGCATGGACCACAAGAAGAAGAAGATGATGAGGATGATATCGATGTTGATGATCCTGATGGAGGAGTACGATTGTCAAAGAGAGGTACCTTGAAACATGAAGCTCGTACCCTTGAACACTTGTTGACACATCGATACAAGAACCCATACTGCAACTCATGTGTGCGGGCCAAGATGAAGCACCACAAAACTTATCGAGGTGCGTTTCGTCGAAAGCTCACAAAGTTCGGCGACCTCATCACCTTCGACTTCATGGATACTCGCAAGACGACCAAGTTGGGCTATGACACGGTCAAGGAGATTCTTGTCATCCGAGACAGGTTTACCGGCATCATTCAGAGTTACCCCTCTCCAACAAAGAACACTGAAGATGTTGTGAGAGCGGTGAAGTACTTCATGGGAAGACGTACTATCAGAGAAGCCTACTCTGACAAGGCCAGACAGTTTGTCAAGGGCATGGAAGCACTCAAGATACCCTTTGACCATGCTCTGCCGGGAAGACCATCAACGAACTCCCTTGCCGAGCGCAACAACCAGTTCGTCATTGCAACAACAACCACATGCCTACTCGAGGCTGGACTACCAGCATGTTTCTGGAAGTTTGCCATACGATGTGTATGTCACCTACTCAATGTGGAACCTGGTGAAGATGATGTGAGCGCATGGTGCAAGCTCCATGGTGCCGAGTTCAAGGGCGAGAAGATCCCATTTGGTGCTTTGGTTTACTTCAAGCCGAGTGGAGCTAGAGCTAATGAACAGGCTCACAAGTTCGACCCCAAGGGCATCCCTGGTGTCTTTGCTGGTTATGAGATTGCCCCGGGCGTCAATTGGCGAAGGCAATATATGGCATGGGCATTGTCTGATATGACGAGGCAGAACTATTCGTTCAATGCCAAGACCATCATTGACAAGCTACGCCATCCTCACCTTACGGAGAAGATTGAAGTACACTTGCCATTGACGTCCCCGTGCAAAGATATCTACGAGAAGGTGAACACCACATTGGAAGGGCTGGCTGTGAAAGATCGCCTTGAAGGATCACCTGATTTCCTTGAAGATCATCAAGATGATGATGATGATGACGAAGACGATGATGACGGAGATGGAGGTGACGATAAACCTAAGAAAGGAAAGATCACCAACCGTGTTGAACATCAAGAAGAAGAGTTCAATCGCATGATGGAGGAAATGGACAACAAACTGGGCAAAGAGAAAAGCGACGGAGTCGAAGTTGTTGATGGGCCTCCTATGCCTCCTCCTGACGGTGAGCCTCCGTATGACGGACCTGAACATGGGTAAACGTGGTGACGGTATCATCTACCTCAGCGACAATGGCGAGCATGTCAAACTCGACAAACGTGGACGACCTTATCGAGTTGGTCCAGACGGTCGCAAAGAAGTACGAGGATCACCAAGACCAAAGAGCAGCTACAGTCCTGAGGAATGGAGATCATTATCCGCCAAGGAGAGAGATGTCATCATTCGTCGTGGAAAACTCGAAGAAGAAGCTGATAAGCTCAAGGAGATCAAGTTGAAGAAAGAGAAAGAGAAGAAAGCCAAAGCTGAGGCTGCTGCGAAGAAGAAGAAGTCCGAAGCGAGTTCACACAAAGATCCACCCAAAGATGAAGGACGAAAGAAAAAGAAAAAGAGTAATAAAGACTCGAAGGAGAGCTCAGGCAAAGATGGCAGCAAGGACGCTGCTGTCGGAGTGGGGAAGCTCCGAGGAGATTGGGAACGTATACCTACGCCCCATGATCCGATGACGACGCTGAACCACAACAGAGGTCACAGCACACGGGAATGTTTATCAACAATCCGTGGAGCTAGTGATCTCATCAACATCAAGAAGCGCAACACTGCCTCTCCTGCGACTCCCAGCGAGACCAGCACAAGCGTCCCAAGTGATGATGATGGTCAAGAATTTCTGAACGAATGGGACGAATGGTCCGAGCATGAAGTTGGAAAAGGACCGAGAGCTCACTGGGAAGATGTTCATTATGACTTCAACACTGGGAAGATCACAACACCTGCTAAAGCTGCACCAACGGCTCCTGCCTCAAAAGACTCCGACGGCAAGTCTAAGGTCGACCACTTCGTGAGTTCGATTCCTTGCATGCCTTGTGTTCATCAAGATCTTGAGCATCGCGAGAAGTTCGGTCAAGGTGATGTGAGGTTTGGAAAGTTGTTCAACGCGATGGTCTCTCGGCCAGTTGGTCGTGAAGAGATGATGGAAGACCCGGACGCAACAATCACGTTTTGACAAATGGATAGAACGGGCATGCTTCCAATACCACCACCCCACTTCCGCTCCGATTGTCTCACTGCCCGTATGTGTATCCACAGCGGCCAGCTCTCGGTTCCAACGTACGTCGACGTCGGAACTGAGCGAGCCTCACATTCAGTACTGAAATACTCTTTGAACAAGCTCAACATCCTCAGAAGATTCCGTTTTCGTTATTTGAAGGGAATCCTATGACAATTAGGGTGATCAATGCCCTGGTCCGCCTTGTTCATGGGGGAGAGGCATGGAGGATTCGAAACAATTCAAAGATCAACAACAGTTCAACAAAGCATTTTCAGAAATGTTGAAGTTACAAAAGCCGCCTATACGGAGAAGAAATACCAAGAAGATAGCATCAGCAACAGAATGTGGTCAAGATGAAGTACCTGTTCGTGACGAATGGAAGTGGATAGGGGACCATGTTTTGGAAAGGATCCACAATGAACCAAGAAGAGAGATGTTCGTTCCAAGTGATTGTGGTGACTGTCCATGTGATCATCGTTTGATTCAAGATTGGAGAGAAACTCAATTGAAGTTCCAGTCGAATGTGAGGGTGGACAAAAGCAATTGGCGTCTCCCAGGTAACAATGGAGAAAGGTCAAACAATCGAAATGAGTTCTGGACTGGAAAGTCTATCTTTCGTGTTTTGAGACATCAGGAGGTTTTTCCGGTTGCGAGTTGCATTATGGATGATAATCTGATGGCTTGTGTCAACACCATGGGTCTGAACATCATTTCTCCCAACAAGATATTTATTCCTCACACATATCGAATGGTGGTCGATGAGAATGAGAACAAGAATGAGTTGAACATCTTTGCGGACAGTCTAATCAATCTGGTTTTGGTTCGTGATAGTGTGCAATGCATGAAGTATACGTTCATCAGATCGATTCACGACCTCAACAATATGAAGTATTTGGGGAAGAACGTTACGATTACAATGCAAGAGCTGCCCGAAAGTACACCCACTATGATATTGATGTGTGCCGAACCTTCAAGTTTGATGACAAAGAGGTATAGAGAGATCATGGATACATCGTTTCATCTGGAATTGATCACAGAGGATGATGACCTTCTCTCCAGATATGGGAGTGCGAAGTGGAGGAGATGCCTCCGCAGCAACAAGGACTGCGTCTTCTTCGCTGGACCGTGCACGGGCGGATCACCGTGGAACAGGCTGAACAAAAGGGTTAGTATTGCTACAGCTCACTTGATTCATGCCAAAGCACATCTATACTGGAAGTTATGGGAAGAGTTTTCAAATTGTCTGTTGAGAGTGATCAAGTTGGATGCCATGGCCTTATTGGAATTGCCTAGAGGCTGTGACTACTGGCATGATGAAAGGATGAGGTGTATGATCGATGGCACTGACTCACACATTCATGACTTCGACGGATGCATGTATGGTCTTACAACACAGTTTGGTGGTCATCGCATTCCAATCAAGAAGCCATGGAGGATCGTATCATGGGGGGTCAAGTTTGATTTGCACAAGAAGTGTGATCGGAGACATGATCATGGGAAATGTGGAGGTCGAGAAACGAAAGTTACAGAGACCTACACCAAACAGATCGTCGACATCATCCTCAAAACAGTATGTCGACATATGTCTATCCGGTTCAAGAAGTCGTTGTCAGATGCGGATGACACGTGCAGCAGTTGCAAGCATGACAGACGTTCAGCAAAGAAGACAGCAGTTTCAATTGCCTATGATATTGATGAGATAGCAGCTGATCTTATGTGGTTAATGATGTTTCACATGAGAGGATGTCGAGTCGATGCACACTTTGATTTCAGGATACCAAAAGACGGGAGATCAGTGGACCACGACTTTTACGACTTCACTTTCGTCGCGCACCACCGAGCGGGTGATCGGAAACCTGAACGTGGACCCGCGCCAGGGAGTACGTGACCCCAGGGCGATCGGAAAGCCGGAGGTTGAGCGAACCCGGCGAGTACGCGACCCCATCGGTCAGGTTGCCATGTCGAACTATACGCCGATCATTGGGTCAGCGTCGAATGACCTCAACGACATCCGCTCCATTCTCGTCACACTACGAGACAACGGGAAACATGGAGTTATTCCCGCCATGTACAAGGAGTACGACCCGACGGTCAGCAGCTTGCCGGACAATACGTTCGACAGGTGGCATGCGATCGGGATTAGTCCGATTGCCGCAGCATCAGCATGCTTCCTGGGCAAGATTCCATCGAATCGATCTGAAGTGAATGCCATCACGTTGTTCCTTCAGGCAGCCTTCAGGTCTTAGAATTGATTAAGAACCCAGAGGAGCTGAACCAAGGAGCCAAAAGATTCTTGGACCGATGCACCACCTACATGAAGACCTTTGTCCAACTTGCATCTCGGAACAATCACAAAGTTCTTGGATTTTGCACCATTGAATGCATCAACAGTTTGGGAAACATGTGGGAGCACATCAAGAACTTCCATGTATCTCATCCCATCCGAAATGACGCAGCATTCACTGTGTCGATGCTACGTGATCACCTTCGAGAATTTAAGCTTCGACCTTATGGAGGTGACTTACGAGGTGTGAACCAATCAGTCCCGGCCGAGAACACATGGTTGAGTGCAACGAGGAAGAAGGACGGGGTTCTCAACCCGTCGGATCCCGATGCGCCCATCACCATCTCGTTCAGGGCGATTCATCGAGAGCTCCACTACTTTGACATGGACACAACCTGGCAATCGAAAGGAACCCAGGACATGTTCAATGCGGCTCTTGATGAATGGCCAGCCAAGTGATCCATTTGGGGCATGCATGGAGATGCTACAACCAAAAGGTGGATCATGAAGGTGAATGTCTAGAACCCATGACATTAGAAACAACAATCAATGACCTCATCGAGCAGAACACCAAGTTGGGTCGCGAGCGAGCCGCTGCAGTGAACCACTTCACCTGCATCATGGCTCTGGCTCCTGCGATCTTCAGATGGAAGAAGAAGCTACCGAAGTTCTGGAGCTACTCCGCACAGGCCAGGGATAACCTGTCCAAACTCGACGGGTACGTTGCACGAGTTCAACAATCTTTGTTACTCACGCCTGAGATCCTGGAGAATCACCTCTACAACGTCATCAACGTTGAGGAAGGCAACCACGAGGAGATCAAGAAGCGCAACAAATGCTTCTCTGCTTTGAGGGAGTTCATGACAACCCTCACAGAAACCCAAGCTGGAGGGGGACAGTCGGGCACCCAAGTTGCTGCAAGTGGATGGAAGAAGGTGTTGAAGTTTGGTGACAATGTTTGGCCACCGGAGCCCCCCAGGGGACAGATCCCGGAGTGGGTCACGATTTCAGACCCAACAGTGCCAGCACCAAGGGTCAACAGGTTTGGTCCTAGACCACCTCCTGGGCCACCACGAGGATATAAGGCTCCACCACAGCCTTATCCCTCGGCACAACCACCACCGAAGGCAAGACCGACTTCTCCTACGGCACCACCTCAACAATCAAGGGCAGCGGGGTCACAGTCATCAAGTTCAGCTGGGCCTCCACCTCAAGCTGCACCCAAGCCGGCGGCAAAGGCTATGCCGACGAGACGTGACATGCCTGAGACTGAGTATGTCCCTCCACAGAAGCCATTGAATGTGGCTACCTACTGCAAGGTATGGACGGACTACACGGGCACGTCGGTGAGATCTATCCTGAATGTTCATGTGGACTCTCAAAACGAGTTTGCTCTGTCACACGTTCAGGGACCAATGGCAAACAATGCTCAATCAACGTGGCGTCAATATCTCAGAAGAGTGGCCACGTACACCTGCCTATGTTTTGGACTCGCAAATGCCAGAGAGGTAGCAGCTAGAGACATCCTACCCCTTCAGCGATATGGAGTGGCTGAGGATTTACAACGCAGCCGTGAAGCGTGGGGGGATGGTGCATCAGAACTACTACCTGTCAGTTGGGGTCCATGACTGTCATGATCAATATGAACGATGATGTGCAGGCCACCGATCGCGACTATGCAAAGTGGAAGCGAGGCCTGATGTCAGGCATCGGTGGGACCATGTGGAAAGGCCATTGGTGCGCAAGGAGAAGGATGAGCTGGCAGGGAAATTCAGATATGGCAAGACCATCTTGATCACTGACCTCGTCTACAAGTGCAACTCGAACGCAAGAGGAACGACCAACATTCAGTATGGGCTCGATGAGATGGGCTATGCCGCTACGGTCATCGACATCAACAGCTTCAGGAGCGTGACCAGAGCCCAGAAGTTCCTCGATGCAGTCGAACACTTGAAGAGGAATGTGATGCCAGACATCGCGTCAGAGGAGAATGTGACAATTCATTTTTAGATTTCGTTTGCATTCCTCATCACAGACTCTCATCCATACCATGTGTGGGTTGAGGGAAACTTTGCCGAGAGACTGGCTGAATCAATCCGAAGACAAGATGGCAACAAGACCGATCTTTGTGTCACTTTGCAAGGATTCCAGATTTCATGGAATTCGGTCTGGCATCCAGGACGTCGCAATTGATTCGGCAGACATCTTGAGAAGCTACGGCATCATGGTTACCACGGATGATGGGATGTGGCGACTGATGTATGGCCCTGCCGGCAACCACTACATGAACAACCACAACATGCCAGACCGATTGGGAGTCTTCGCCACTATGGAAAAGTTCTTGTTCAGGCAAAGGGTACTATTGATGTGCTCCCTGAATGTTGAAGCCGCAAAAGGATTGAACGACTTGGTGAAAGAATCTTCCATGAAGGTCGGCATTAACCTGGAGCTGATGGAGAAGGTGCTCAAAGAACCTTCGACGATTCAGATCGGAGCTGGAGGCGGAGTACCAGATACTGCGAGCGCTGGATCCGATTGCCCAGGCACAGTTGGAGGTGGAAGAAGAGTGAATGTGGGATACGAGAAGGCGCCATGGATTGAGGCCACGGTGAGATCAGTTCTACCAGAGTCCTCAGCCAACATGTACGACATGTGGTTCTATGTCAACCATGGGCGCGATGAGATGATTCTATGCCAACAACATTACAACGGGCGTGATGATGAAGTGATGCCACACGACTTCATGAATCAGAATCTTGGATGTGGAAAAGAATGCATTGCCTGTCGTGCCAGTGAGATGGCCAGAGAATACAACCTTTGGCCACCAGAGTATCAACGAAAGACGGTCATCAAGACGGCGGCAAGAATCCGAGCATTCTTCAACATCATGACTGATGAGGGCACTGTGATCATGGACCCTCAAGGATTTCGTTCAGTTCCTCAAGGACATCACCAAAGCAATGGTGGGCAACAAGGGATGCGAACATGGTGAGATCCTCATGAAGGCGTTGTCGCACTTCGGAACTGTCAGAGTTCCCAGGGATCGGGTGAAGCAGATCTTCACCGGAAAGCGTGGAAGGCAATACATTGTCATCCGGGAAGGGTTCATGCTGGACGATGGCAGGGAAACCCATCAACGGTTTGCCTATCGCGATCCAAAGACTGTGGGAATGTGTTCTACAAGGACTACCTCAAGATGGTGCTCGGGAATGACTTCACTGATGTCATGGGCTATCTCGACGTTGCAGCTGAGAAGTGCGGCGACGTGGTCGAGATGTGGCTTGGCATGCTTGACCTAGCCAACATGACGAAGTCGCAGATCACGTTCATGGAGACGAAAGCTGATCCAGGTGAGCTACTTGCAGGCCTGGAGGGGTCGCTCAACATCTTCCATGGGACAACAAGATCAACCACAACCCCCACCACCAAGAGAGGTGGATCAAGGATAACAGAACCCATGAACCACGAAGAGGCTGTTGTGAACTCGATCCTACGCGACATCCCAATGTATCACAGCTTGCAAAATGCTTGTTTGATTGAGGACAAAGAGATCAGCGTCATCAATGAGAACTACAAGAGATCTATGGCCGATGAAATCAACGATGACGACATGGAACGCGAAGGTCACGGGACCGGGGAGGGTAGATCTACCACCCAGGAAGCAACGACCGGAGACGCGGAAGCAAGTGCCGAAGGAGCAGGTAGATCTACCGCTCCGGACATGCACGACGCGACCAGGTCTCCATCAAACCCTGGAGAAGAGTTCCCAAGATAAGGGAGCAATCATCGAGGCCATCGATGCGCTCTTTGCCATGGCTGACGACAACAACGTCTGCCTGAAGTGTGGTGAGAGTGGGCATCCCAATTATGAATGCCCGACGAAAGGTGACGATCAAGTCAAGTCAGCATTGATCAACCTGAGGAGGAAACTACAGGGTGATGATGTCGAAGACAAGGATATGTCCAAAGAAGGCGATGATGAAGAAGAGGATCGTTTCCGCCAAGAGAACTACAAGGCCACCAGGGAAGGAGAGTACATGTACCTCCAATCCATCCCATTGTCAGTGATTGGTGATCGAGCATATGGTGAGAAGAGTATCAACGGAGTGAGAGCCGTTGAGAAGGGCCCTATGACGAAGCCAACAGCTATGCTGGGCATGGAATTGAATACCCATTGCCGACCGAATCCAATGCTAACCGAGTTTACCTGGAAAACTGGGAGAACAACTACAGCTAGTATTTCAACAAAGCCTTGCGACACCACATTGGACGAAGGGACGTGTGGGAGAAGACTTATGGCGGATAGAAGACGACGTTCGATGGACTTAAATGTGACGAAGCCGGTTGGGTGGACATTATAGACTTTCTACATCACCCATGGATCTTCGATCGCGAGAACGTTCGCCTTGAGGATGATGGACTCATTGACGTTGACTACCGAGAAGAACGTGTCAACACCATGATCAAGACGGTTTGGTCAGAGTTCCAAGAGAAAAACAAGGTCCGCATCCAATTCTTATGCATCGTCCTGGACTCTACCTTCGACAAGCCCGATGATTACCTCAGGGACGTCATGAAGGTTGGTGATGACATCCACCAGATCAGTGCTCAACAAGGGGAAGTATTTCTAGCGCCCATTGCTGTGCGGCAGTGCGTTCACCTGGAGGATTTTCAGCCCGGGGAAATGACTTTCGCCTCGATTACAGCAGGATTTGTCACCCGATCACCACTAGAATTGCGGATGATCTATGCTTCTGTTATCACGTGACCGAGTTCAAGAACGTGATTGGCATCATCAAGGAAGGTCTTCGACCAGGTCGTCACAGAGGAGGACGAACACAAGTGTTCCTCAACCCATTTGTGCCATGGGACAAGCGATACAAGGAGATCCTGGGGGGGCAACTGACTCACCTCGGGCAGCCACGTATGGTAGTGGCATTCAGCGTGCATCGACTCATGAGCCTTGGAATCATGATCAATGCGTCTGGCCAAATGGTGATCAATGGAAACATTCCCTTCTCTGAGGTGATCGCAGCGTGGTATCAGGCCAACACCTATGAATGGGAACGACTGCTCGTCGATTCCGGAAAGTTCCAACTGGTGAGATCGTGCCAAGAGCCAAAGGAGATTGCTACAGCGAGCACAGTCCTACGCGTCTCAAAGGCTATGCTGAATGAAATCGACATCGAGGACAACATTCCGTTCTATGACCAGTTCGTCAAAGACATTGAAAAGCTTGAGAAGGCCAATGCAGTGTTGAATCCCGGTAGCGAGCTGAGGAACAGCATTGTGACGTTCATCTCCGAGAACTACACTCCGAGAGAAGCTGGACATTTAATCTGTCCTGCCTGTCTACTGAGACTCCGAACATTCTGTCTATATGCGTCAGATGCCATGGTTCATTGGTTAGCTGGGGAGAGAAGTCAGTTAAACAAGATGAGAGCACCGCCCCAGGCATGCCAGAACGTGAACGCCAAGAAAGCGGAGATGGCAATGATGACAACGACGATGACGTCGAGATGGAGAATGAGGATCAAGACGAAATTGACCGATTGGTCAGGGAGTCCAAGAGAACAACCGGAGATGAATCTGATGATGACGTTGACATGCCGGACGCGAAGCCGAGCAGACCACAGACCAGATCTGGAAGCGGGCGAGAGCGCACTGCCCCAGACCCTAAGGTGGCATTCGGCAGCAACACCAAGGAACAGCAGGAAGAAGAGGACGAAAGAGTCGCTCAAGAACAAGAACATGACGAAGAGCAGAGGGAAGCCAGAATCAAACTGCCATTATGGACATCAAGAACGATTCAGGCATCTATCATCCACTGTATCGACATTGCTCAGAACGAGGATGCAATCGACGGCACTGCAAGAGCGGTCGACGGGATGATCCTCACATACCTGAAGGATCGATACAAGCTCTACAACGTCTGGACATCGATGGCAACTGCACAACAGTACTATGACCACGTGAGGAGGATTAAACTTCTTCCAGAATACGACGGGTACATCCCCTATGTTGGTGAAGATGCCAACGGTGAGCTGAAGGAGCCCACGGAGGAACAACTTAAGGAATCGTTCCACGCGAATGCCAAGAACGGTAAAGTTGGTGGAAGGGATCTGGAGGTCTACTTGAAAGGGGTGAAGGGCATCAAAGTCCTATGCAGAATCATGAAGTACCTCGTCCAGACCGGAGTGACACCACAGCTTGTTTACTCCAAGGTCGCAGGTGTCACCGATGATGAAGAACGTCAACAGGAGATACGACGGGAGGCATCGGACTTCATTCGAAAGATTATCTCAGGTACCTTCGCTGTCCGATCCTACGATTATTTTAGGGTCAATCCACCACAGCGAGATGATCACATTCACATCGACCCAGTGGAATTGGCATGCGCAGTGACAGAAAGATCGAGAACATTCACTGTCCTCGTGACGCTCAACAAGATTGGCCTAGCTCTACCACAACAACTCCAGAAGGTGTGGGAGGGAAAGCTCAAGGCAGTTTCCCAGAGCGCCGCGCAAATGGAAGTGAGTTTCAGATCACTCGACCCCTCCGAGCGTGAAAATGCACGAGAGTATGTTCGAGCAGTCGCTGATGCACAAACCACGGAAGAAGGAGCTACGTCTAGCACGAAGGACTCCAACAAGAAGAAGAAACGACGCAAAGAGTGAAGAGTGCATGGTCTTTGTCATGGAAGAGCACGCATGAGAGGACTCTGAGCACCGGGCTAATTGAAATAGGGCCTACGCACCAGGGGTACGAAGTCTTCCCGGTGCGATGGCACAAAATTTTCAAAGGTATAAACTAGGGTAGGATGCCCTAGTAGTACGGCATAATTCATAAGGTGCGTGGAAAGCCGGAGGTTGAGCGACCCCGGCGAGTACACAATCCACCAATCACAGAGCCGTGCAATACATAGCGTTGAGAGCACAATTTACGAGTGAGTGAGTACAGATTTTAAACCTGACGTCTGCTCCTGTGCCCGACACCTGGTCGTAGGTTGAGCGACCGCGATCAGGAATGTCGGGCATGGGGGGTGTGAATCAGATGTAGGCGACAGGCATACAGGTTCAACACTCACGCACAATGCATTAATTCATGCCAGCGATCACAAACTGCTACGCTGGCTCAAGCCGGCTCAAGCTGGCTTAAGGGACGACCGCTCCATCGCTGCATGGAAAAGAAGCGTTGCTTGCCGCGGCTTCATTAAGGACTTTGGGAACGCATAGAGCCCCGACAAGACCAATTACAAGTTGACGGGTGGTACGATAAACCATTCACAATATATATAAGGCCTGATATAAAGATAATATACAAAGTATAAAAAGATATAAAAGTATAAAAAGTATTACAACGTGACCAAAGTATAGAACATCATTCCTTTGCCAAAGCACAAGTGCAGGCACAACACATAGCCGACATAGCACAGCAATGCCCAGCTCGGATTCGCATCGAGGTCGGAACCGAATTTGTGAAATATTCGTCGCGGCGCAACTGCATCGATTTGATGGGCATCCGCCTATTGGTGAGTCAAGTCTTGCAGAGGCGCAAATGGCAATTGCAGTGGCCGTGCAAAGCGGTTGCATTCTAAAGAGTTATATAAATACAGGCTTGGATTAGATTTCTCTCTTCCGCTCTGTGTAAATTCATGCTCTCCATTGGTGAAAGATTGTCCTTTTGGGTCGTGTTTTAGGTTTGGTCTATGTTTCATGGTGATGTCTCCAAACCAACACCCTGTACAAAATAAGACGTCGCAAGACGCCAAAGAACAAACGTGTGTGTGTGTCAGATAGAACATGTATATCCAGGAAGCGACTAAGAATTCGCTGAATTTCATGGAAGGGCGGAAATAGAACACAGCAGTGATTTCAGATGATTCCCATTCATAGTTCGCCAGATTACACTGGTCGCCTGATTTGCCCTGGTCGGCCTCGTCCTCATCCCATTCGTCCCAAAATTCTCCTTGAAAATTAAAGGGCCAGATAACCCCACATGTTAAGCCTTCCGATTGTTATGAGACGAAGGTGATGACTTGGGATGGTGGGAGCAGATAATGATTGGATGGAGAAGAGATAGATGGCCAGATAGATAGACAGATAAAGAGATAGAGAGATAGAGAGATAGACACAGACAGACAGACAGAGACAGACAGACAGACAGACAGAGACAGACAGAGACAGACAGAGACAGACAGAGACAGACAGAGACAGACAGAGACAGACAGAGACAGACAGAGACAGACAGAGACAGACAGAGACAGACAGACAGCCTTTACACAGGCAAGCCTTTACACAGGCAAGCCTTTACACAGGCAAGCCTGTACACAGGCAAGCCTTTACACAGGCAAGCCTTTACACAGGCAAGCCTGGCAAGCCTTTTTACACACAGAAGCTTTTACACGGAGAAGCTTTTACACAGAGAAGCTTTTACACAGAGCAGCTTTTACACACAGAAGCTTTTACACTCAGCCGCCTTTACACACAGACGCTTTCTTTCACACAGACGCTTTCTTTCACACAGACGCTTTTACACACAGAAGTATTTACACAGAGAAGCCTTTACACGAGTTTGCACACAGATACTTTTACACAGAGAAGCTTTTACACAGGGAAGCCTTTGCACAGAGCTTTTTTTAAACACAGAAGTATTTACACAGAGAATCCTTCACACAGACGCTTTTACACAGGGCAGCTTTTGCACAGAAGCCTTTTATACACAGAAGTTTTTACACAGAGAAGCCTTTACACAGAGCAGCTATTACACACAGAAGCTTTTACGCAGGGAAGCCCTTACACAGAGCACCTTTCACGCAAAGGAGCTTTACACACAGACGCTTTTACACAGAGCAACTTTTACAAAAAGACGCTTTTACACACACCAGCATTTACACAGGGAAGCCTTTACACAGAGAAGCTTTTACACGGCAGATTTTACAAAGAAACCTTTTTACACACAGACACTTTTACACACTGACTTGCTTCAGACCAGTTCAGACACGGTTCAGAAACGGTTTCAGCACGGCTCAGAAATGTTCAGACACGGTTCAGACTGGTTCAGACACGGTTCGCCAGTCACCAAGTGCTGCGCCTGCCACGCGACACTGCCGCGGATAAAGGCAGAGAAGTGGTGATACAGAAGAGTTGAGACAGAGAAGTGATAGACAAGTTGATAGGGAGAAATGGTGATACAAACAAGTTGAAGAGAAGAAGTTGATGATGACGGCGGGACGGCAGGAGGCGGACGGGAGCGGATTGCCAGCAAAAATTAGAACCCCACGTAGTGATGTGGGGAATTGACCTCTCATTCTGCTTGATGCTTGGCGTACGACTCCAGCCGCTGCCTATGCGGCCAATGTCAGTTGTGTTTTGCTGCTATCGGACTTGGATGGCAGGTGCATGATGAACATGTCCAACCGGCAAGCTGTCCTTGTGGCTGACAGTATCTTCAACCGCGCTGGGGTTGGCATCTCAGAACCCATTTCCTTGGCCCCAACCCGTGGATTTTTTTTGATAACATGTCAGGGGCTACCTGCTCAGTTCCATCACAGGTATACATTATATTATATCTAAGATACCCACAGATATGTGTTTTTCCTATGTGTGGCGGTATCCTCATGACAATTTACGCAAGACCATTTGGGGCGTAGACTCTCACTCTTATAATATGTTGTAATATTGTTTTCACGTCGCAAGATAGCTGTCAGTAGCCAGGGCTGAAAGGCATATTCGAGGTTTGCAGATCGAGCGAACGCATGACAGCTTGGCATTAGTTGGCGTTGCATGCTTTGTGAATCTTTGTGATAGAGTCAGCTCAATAGGACCCATCTTCGACTTGCCAGTAGAAAACCCAAGGAGTTTGCAAGCCTCATCTCAATGCTGCAACCAGCCAAACAATTGGTTGACTTTGTACAAAAGGTTCTGTACTCGACTGAGATCGGGTGAAAACGAGTGTCCAAGATCGTATCCACATTTGACACAACCTGTTTCAGTTGTAGCCTATCTTCTTAACGGCAGGTCGTGCCTGGAATCTACCAGGCAATCTTAGCACAGGGGACAGACTACAGGCGCAACTCTGCACTCCGATTTCACGATCTCACACTGATTCCAGAATCTCAACGCACAGTCGTCAACACACTCATGAGCAGAGTCATCATTACGATCCTACGTCAGACTTGTGTAGAACTTGCATTGGGCATACCTTTGAGAAATGTGCTTGCTGCAGTACCGAAGCTTGCTCACATCCGTTGCCGTTGCTGAGATTCGCGCACCATTTTTTGATCAGTTTGGATCCCTTTTTGTTTAACTTACACGGGTTGAACAATTTTGTGAGCCAGGATGGAGAAGATAGGTCTGTCTGACATCATGGCCAGGTTCGAGGCAGGGCATGGCGGAGCATGGTGGAGCATGGTGGAGAGTGGTGGAGAGTGGTACGAGCCGTGCACAGCCATGGTTTCACCATTGTTCTGTGGTTTCCGTTTTCGACCCTCCCATGAATTCCTTCTATTGCCAAGAGCGGCTCATTATGGTTCCTAAAGCAGGGCATCGCATGATTTTTTGATGTGAGATTACTTCAGGATACCTGGGAGAAACAATGGAAAAGTGACACAGAGATAGAGATAGAATAGATATGGGTATGGGTCCAAATTTGAGACTGTGGGGACTGCAGATGTTGGCCATTAACCATCCATTTTGTTTGGATACCTAATTTATGATACCAGTGTGCGTGAATATATCAAAGCATCCTCTCTATCTGCAGGAACGAAAGAAGCCATACGTGGATGTGACCCGTGAGATGGTGTTTGAGCACGAGCGACAGATTGCGTGCAACGGTGACTTGGCTTTGCAGTTGCAGTTGTGAGCTGGCACTCGAGCAGAAAGTACGGACTTGTACATCTTATTGTAGATTTTATACTATATAGCCAAAAAACCCGAAGGAAGTTTAGAAGTCAAACTTCCGACAATATGAACAGATGGAAAAGCAGAGGCGAGAAGAGGCAGAGAAGAGAAAGGAAGAAGATGCAGGCGCGCGAAAAGGTAGAAAAGTCGCGAAACACTGTGTTTTTTCAATGTTTTGGGGCTCTGGAGAGTCGAAAAGTAGGCTCGCTCAAGCGGTGGGTGCAAAGCCATCTGGCAGGATGAAAGATGAAAAATTGCATGCTGCTGTGGCGCGAAGCGCATTTTGAAGTGAGAATGTGCAAAACACACCATTGTCGGACAACTTTTGGAAGGCGCACGCCTTTGTGGCGCGAAGCACATGTCGAAACCAAAGTGTTAAAAACTGACCGTCTCAGACCGCTTTTGGAAGTTGAGATGTCGAAAAAGTGCACGCTGCTGTGGCGCGAAGCATGTTTGGAAGTCAAAAGTGTTACAGACTGGCGGTCTCGGACCACTTTTGGAGGTTGCGATGTCGAAATAGTGCACGCAACTACAACTCAAACTAGAACTGCAACTACAACTAGAACCACAATTACAACTACAACTACATTAAAGTACCACTACAGCTACAACTTCAATTGCCAGTACCACCATGACTACATTTCAACTACAACTACGACTACAACTACACTACGCTAGAGATAGATAGGCAGATAAAGAGACACAGAGAGAAAGTGACAGAGAGAGTGGGGAGAGAGGGGGAGAGAGAGAGAAGAGAGAAGAGAGAAGAGAGAAGAGAGAAGAGAGAGAGAGAGAAGAGAGAAGAGAGAGAGAGAGAGAAGAGAGAGAGAAAGAGGGAGAGATTCAGAGCCTCAACCACCTTTCGATCCATCAGTGGGTTCGCCACAACAACTCACTTCTCCTATATATAAGTTTCCTATTTTTGAAACTTCCGCCCCCGCCTTGCGCGGTACCACTGCTAAAACAGAGTTGCAAATTTTATTGACAGGCGTCATTGGCATATTTTGGGTCAATTTTGATTTTCAACAGCTTGAACTGGGCTGTATGACTTTGAACCCAGCAACAGCCTTGCCAATCACATTCCCGATTGAAGCCTCCAAGTGAAGAGATTCAACTTCTGACATTTTTTGAGGTGGACAGGTGAATCTCTTCGCTCCAAGCTACATGTACCACCAGAAACTTGGCAAAGACAGCGATGCCGCTGCAAACTGAATCAATGTCAATGCCTCCGCAGGGGTTGGCGCCGTCCAAGTTCCAGTCTGCTTTCAGTGTCCCCTGCGGACAACTAGAACCAATAGACTTTGGTATAGCGACGAAGTTGTACTTAGAATAGATTTGAATCAGTTGCAGTTAAATTGGTGGTGCTGCGGTCCTAAGTAAGTATTTACAGCATGGTACCTGAACAGATACTTAGAGGAAAACTAAAACAACATGAAACTAGCGATGCAGTGATGATGATAAACACAATTATTGCCAAAACCTGTTGACTGCTTCCACAATCCTTGCATTTCGCAGCCAAAACGAGGTCATGCCGTGTTTTGTCACACATATCCACTAGTCATGATAGTCATGTGAGATATTTGATATATTTTGATATTGTATATTCAAAGATTTTTCTGACAAAACAAACTCTGCTGCATGTTTGCAAGTAGGTGCAACCTCAGAACCAGGTACTTAGAACCATTCAGAACCTGTCTAATTTAAAACCCGCCTTCCATGGTCCTGATGTAAGCTGCGCAAACACGCCAGATACCTTCCGTATCTTTCCGTTTTTTTCATCCTAGGGTAATTCTTTCCCGAAAACTCGTTGCAGAACCATATATTTAGAACCTGTAAAATGTTTTGAGGACACTTACCATGGTCCTGATGTAAGCTGCGCAAGCACGCCAAATACTTTCCATCTTTCAAGCTACATGGAGCATGGTCGCTATTTGTTTCCCAAAAATCCAGGACACGTAGTCAAATTGTACTTACATATACTTACATTTGTGTGGTTCTAACTATTTTGTTTTGCTCCAAGTACGTGTTACTCTATGTTTGTTCTAAGTAGATGGGTTTTTCAGAAGTACCAGACGGTTCTAAGTACGTGCTTTTCAACTTTGGAAATTGTTGTTGATTCTAAGTCCCACTGTGTCACTATAGACTTTAATCGACTTGATGAATCAATCTGAAAGCAAGTTATGTTTCACGAATTTACTAGGGCTCTCCTGGCTTTTCCCTGGTTCTTTTCTAGCTTCGAAGCAAGGCTACGAAAAGGGTTTTTGAAAAGCATGTCGCATGAACAGCATTTGTGCTACTTGCACGAAAAAAACATGAACGGTTCTGTTCTTGGAGAAGGGAAAGCGGATTACATGAAGAAAACTTGGAGTTCCAGCCGAAATAGTTTGTGTGACAGAATAGTGTGTGTGTGTGTGCCTTTTCTTGCCTACCGAGACTAGCGGAGTCAATCACCCACTGCAGAGCCAGACCACCCTGAGTCAATCACTTCCCCTACGTCGGAGTCTGTCATCCCTTGACATAGTGACTAGTAGCGAGGGATGGTGGATTGAGGGCCCTTGTTAGGTTCCCACTTTTGCCTTTATTCAGGGTTGCTTTAGGATATGTTTAAGTTTTATTTAGGGTTGGTTTAAGGCTAATTCAGGATCTCGACAAGGTTTGTTTTAGCTGGAGACGCTGATGGCGACCTGGACGAAACATGCGTTTTTGTGATAAGTCTGGACTGACTGAATCGAAGGTAGCACGCAGGTCGAGGCTTGTTCGAAGAATGGGGCTTAAGAGCTATTACTGCTGCTACTACTACGATTACGACTGCCACTACTACCGGTACTACCAGTACTACCAGTACTACCAGTACTACCAGTACTACCAGTACTACCAGTACTACTAGTACTACTACTACTACTACGACTACTACTACTACTACTACTACTACTACTACTACTACGAATACGACTACGACTACGACTACGACTACGACTACGGCTACGGCTACGACTACGACTACGACTACGACAACAACTACTACTACAACTACTACGACGACTACTACTACTACTAGTAGTACTACTAGTACTACTACTACTACTAGTAGTACTACTAGTACTACTACTACTACTACGACGACGACGACGACGACGAATACGAATACGAATACGAACACGAATACGAATACGAATACGACTCCCTTTAGTAACTAGTGACTAGCAACTAACCTAACACTAGACTTACTAATGTGACTACCCAGAAGGGGCATATTTCTTACTAAAACCCTCCGATACCACACATTTCTTACTTAAAACCCCCCAGCGGCGCGCCCCCAGCACAAGCTTTGCACATAGCTATCTTACATACAAAAACCATTCTTTTGACATAATGTCTGACGCAGTTGCTTATGACTGCTGCGCGCTCCCCACTACAGCAAAATGCTTACACAACTGCGCGCAAACCCTTTCCCAGAATAAATCTGTATGTTTGGCTGGAAAAATTGGCACAAAAAATTAGTTTCTACCGCAAGTCGGCAAATGTTCCGGCATTCCCTTGTGTTTAAGGCGGTTAACGGGGGGGTTCCGGCGGTTCCCGGGGTGTTCCCGGCGGTTCCCGGGGTGTTCCCGGCGGTTTCCCGGGTTGTTCCCGGGGTGTTCCCGTATTTGTTTTTGGGTATGGCTCAAGTCCTCGCCAGACAAGCCGAAAAGGTTTGAAGACTTTCACGCTACCCATGGTACGAAATCTCATCAACACATTTCACAGATGCTACAGTCTGCTACAGATACACAATAGCCAAAATTCCAAATCATTTTTCCAATTTGCCAAACTCTTTTTGTGTGTGACTTGAGTTTCAAGGTTTTAGCACCGAAATAGCCATTTCCGACCTAAAACCCCTCATTTCTTATTTCTTACTTAAAACCCTGACGAGATGCCCCTCTGGGTAGTACTATTTTTACCACTATGACTACTACGACTACTGTGACAACTGCTACTACTGCTACTGCTACTGCTGCTTCTTTGATTGCTGCTACTGCTGCTACTACTACGACGACGACAACTACTACTACTTGCTACTTACTACTACTACTACTGCTGCTGCTGCTACTACTACTACTACCACTACTACTACCACTACACCTACCACTACCACCACTACCACTACTACTACTACTACTTCTACTACTACTTCTACTACTACTTCTACTACTTCCTACTGCTACCAGTACTACTAGTACTACTAGTACTACTAGTACTACGACTACTACTACTACTACTACTACTACTATTACTACTACTACTACTATTACTACTACTACTACTACTACTCCTACTCCTACTCCTGCTCCTACTGGTACTACTAGTGCTACTAGTACTGCTAGTACTACTAGTACTACTACTACTACTACTACTACTACTACTACTACTACTACTACTACTACTACTACTACTACGAATACGACTACGACTACGGCTACGGCTACGGCTACGACTACGACTACGACTACGACTACGACAACAACTACTACTACAACTACTACTACTACTACTACTACTACTACTACTACTACTACTACTACTACTACTACTACTATACTACTACTACTACCACCTACGAACTACGAACTACGAACTACTACGACCTACTACGACCTACTACGACCTACTACGACCTACTACGAACTACTACGAACTACTACGAACTACTACGAACTACTACGAACTACTACGAACTACTACGAACTACTACTCACTACTACTCACTACTACTCACTACTACTCACTACTACTCACTACTACTCACTACTACTCACTACTACTCACTACTACTGACTACTACTGACTACTACTGACTACTACTGACTACTACTGACTACTACTGAAATACTAGAATACACTGACTATTATGACTACTACTGAATTTTACTACTGACCTACTACTGACTTACTACGACTGATACTGTACTAGGATAACGACTGCTACTATGACTAACTACTGATACTAGGACTATACTGCCGATACGAAAACGACGAACTACGGACTAAACTCCGACATAAGACTACGAGACTATACTACTAAACGAGACTACTACTAATAAACATACTGATAACGATGACGAAAAGCAAGAAGAACGAGACTACGAACGACTGACTGAACGACGTACGAACGACGAGAACTATACAAATATATGCTAACTACTACTAACTACTACTATCTACTACTAACTACTAACAACTACTAACTACTACTACTACTACTACAACTACTACAACTACTACAACTACGACTACTACTACTACGACTACGACAACTACTACTACAACTACTACTGCTACTGTTACCACTACTACTACTACGACTACTACTACTACGACGACGACGACGAACACGAATACGAATACGAATACGAATACGAATACGAATACGAACACGAACTACTACGACGAACTACGACCTAGTAACTAGTGACTAGCAACTACCAACTACCGACTACTAACTAGTGACTACTACTATTTTTACCATTATGACTACTACGACTACTGTGACGACTGCTACTACTGCTACTGCTACTGCTGCTTCTTTGATTGCTGCTACTGCTGCTACTGCTGCTACTACTACTACGACGACGACAACTACTACTACTTACTACTTACTACTTACTACTTACTACTTACTACTTACTACTTACTACTTACTACTTACTACTTACTACTTACTACTTACTACTTACTACTTACTACTACTACTACTACTACTTCTACTACTACTACTACTCCTACTACTACTCCTACTCCTACTCCCTACTACCTACTACCTACTACCTACTACCTACTACCTTCTACCTTCTCTACTACCTACTACCTACTACCTACTACCTACTACTACTCCTACTACTCCTACTCCTACTGCTACTGCTACTGCTACTGCTACTCCTACTCCTACTCCTACTACTACTCCTACTCCTACTACTACTACTACTCCTACTACTACTACTACTTCTACTACTCCTGCTACTACTACTGCTACTACTCCTCCTGCTACTACTCCTGCTACTACTCCTGCTCCTACTCCTGCTCCTACTCCTGCTCCTACTCCTGCTCCGACTCCTACTCCGACTCCTGCTCCGACTCCTGCTCCTACTCCTCCTCCTCCTCCTGCTCCTCCTCCTCCTACTACTACTACTACTACTAGTACTACTA